TAGTTATTGTTTACTATTTGCAGACATATTGTTAATCCAAGCAATTAATTAATGTATAAAATATATAATGATATACAGTAAACTACACATGGTACCGACGAATTTAATCTTCGTAGTTCAATTGAATTAAATAAATAGCTGCATCCAACAAGGACAATGAGTTCCTAAGAAAATAAATTGTTAAACATTTTCAATAGGTATAATGCTTCGTTATATTTTCATATTTTCAATATGTTTACTATAGATTGTTTTTACTCATAATTAAAATAACTCTTGTGTATATTCACTACTGCATAGTTAATAGTATTAGAAAGCTAATTCATTATTATTTTAGTTAGAATATAATAAAATAAACGTCTGTAATTGCAATACAAACAATATCTAACGTTTTACGTATTAAGAAAGAAATTTTAATTAATCAAATGGAGAAAATTAAGCAGTATTGAATAATTACTTGTTTATGGAAAACAAAACAAATGATAAATAAAACATTTTAGCAAAACAATTTGTTAATATCACTCGTAGTTATACAAAAAAACAATAGTTGCAAACTTGGTTTAAACGAATTCCACGAACAACCACTCTTTGTAAGTAATAAAAACTTACAGAAGTATTCAACCCGGTTAATAATGCGGCTTGATAAAAACTTTAAATCCTTATTGGATTGAAGCATATGTCAGTTAAATTTCATATTTTATGGCCTTTAAAAAATTTTAATTCGTCCTTCATCTAAAAATGCTATTTATATTTAAGAACGCTTAATTGTTAAATTTAAAACAAGATACAAATGTTGCCATTCTAAATAATATTTTTTATTAAATTAGTTTCTACGAAACCTTCATTATATTAAAGATAAGTATGCAATGTGAATTTTTTTAGCAATTTTTGTTAAAACAAAAAGCAATACTTCCCGTTTTATGAAGCGCAAACCGCATAGAAATTTGTACCTTTCAAATACATGCATAATGAGATATAAAAATAAAAAATTTTCTACTTATCTTTTTTATATTGTCGTTATCCAAAAATTTCCAGTTTGTAAGAAGGTACTCCAATTCCAATTGTTCTTTTGGCAACGCACTTGGTAAATGTTAAGTCTAGGTTCACTATATTTTCCCTGAAAAAAAAAACTATAGATAACAATCCTAATACGTAAGTGTATGTTCCTGTGCCATTCAAAACAACATACTTTTGCATATAGCTGTATAGAAACGAAATTATTAACAAAAAGCAAATCACAATTATTTTGAATTTTGTTGATTCCTTAATAATAATATTAATCATCAATTTCAACTGAATTTTATAATACAAGAACGTCGACAATGCTATTTATACTAAAACAAAATAAATTTACCTTAAACAAAGCACAATCTTTTCTAATAATTCTCCTGAATAAATTAAAATGTTAGAATCAAACAAAACTGTTAACATACTAATGTTTGTATGAAACACGACAACATTATCTCAATATTTTTGTATTATTCACGATGAGTAACCTTGATGAAAAAAACTGAGATATATACGACACTTCTGCCCTAGGCAAATAGGCATGGTTTGAATAGCGTGTGCTTGAAAATAAGTATTACAAAAAGAACTTGCAGTTCCAAAATATCACAACACACATCAAGAACAACATTGAACATGTTAGCCGTTATAAATAAGTGTTAAATACATTAATATCTTCATAATTTCCATAATACAAAAGAAAAGACGACTGCACTTCCGTTAGTAAAATAAAATTTGAATGTTAACAAGGTTAAACTTTAAATTAATAAACAAAACCTTTATCGTTTTTCAAAAGCAAAACAACAATGCAATTCTGCAACAATTTTTTATTCGTGAGCATCTTTTTGGAACCACGCAATCTTAGCAAAAAAATATAAAATATAAAATTTCACCTAATTTACCCTACTATTCGTTTTAGTGTTTTTCTGAGTCCACGGAATCGCTCATATTTTCCGATTTAATGGTCCCATTGAAAATTCGTAGCTCGACGCCCGATGCGTTCGAAACGTAGGTGGTTTGAAGCCCAATGCATGAAGAAAGTTTTTGATAAAAACCGCATTGACCTATGACATTGCCTGCCTGCGCTAGCGCCAACCGAATTCACGTAATTTACCCTACTTTTCGTTTTAGTGTTTTTCTGAGTCCACGGAATCGCTCATATTTTCCGATTTAATGGTCCGATTTCTATGGGTGTTATCAAAATTTTCCAGAGACGCTGTGCATCACGTCGAGATCGAAAGTGCCCCCCTACGATATTCCCTTACAGAGTTACAGATGTCGGAACTTTTTGTCAAGTGTTATTTTTAAAATCGAGAATTAAATGTTTAGGACAACATATCTGGCGAACTATTCAAGATAGAGCAAAAATTCTTTCACCAATGGTTGACCCGCATCGTCGCGAACAGGACAAACTCAATTTCGAAAGAATATAAAATATCAAAAATTTTGAAAATTTTGAATTTCTGATCGGCACAGATTTCGACCGCACATGTCCTATAATGTTCGCACTGCGTCGGGGCATCCGCCTGTGAAAGAATTTTTCCGATAAGTCTTACCGTTTTCGAGTTAGAGGCTACGAAAGGTCAAATTTGAAAATTTTCCGCTCAGGAACATGGCCGCGGTTGAAAATTCGTAGCTCCTCACCTCGACGCCCGATGCGTTCGAAACGTATGTGGTTCGAAGCCCAATGCATGAAGAAAGTTTTTGATAAAAACCGCATTGACCTATGACATTCCCTGCCTGCGCTAGCGCCAACCGAATTCACGTAATTTACCCTACTTTTCGTTTTAGTGTTTTTCTGAGTCCACGGAATCGCTCATATTTTCCGATTAAATGGTCCGATTTCTATGGGAGTGTTATCAAAATTTTCCAGAGATGCTGTGCATCACGTCGAGATCGAAAATGCCCCCCTAGGATATTCCCTTCCCGCATCGTCGCGAACAGGACCAACTCAATTTCGAAAGAATATAAAAAAACCGTTTCGAAGTTTCCCTGTCTGAAGTTTTGGTGTTGTGTTATAATTAAAATAGAGGATTAAACATTTAGTAGACTATATCTGGCGGTGTATAATTGATAGCGCAATAATTATTTAACAAATAGTTAAATAATTTCCAACATGAGAACATTAAATTGGGTTTTTACAATAATTGTCAATACCAAGTATGGCCATACCTGTTGTTATATAGAGATATAGAATTTACTGTAAGCGGGCGAAATATATACATAGTTAAAGTATTCCTATAAAGGACTCACCGTTCTTTCGTCGCTTTCGATTGCATGTCCTTTTGTCTTTGCGTCGCGTTGATTGCCTTCGTAGCGTCCAACTGCATCTACAGAAAATGAAAACACATATCACATGTATGTCGATTAAATACTAGAAAAAGAAAAAGCATTTAATTTTAATGGTGTTGAAGGAAATGTTAAGGAGCTTGCTTTAATCTAAAGGAACATGTAGCACAACTAGTAAATAATCGACTCCTACCTTATCGGTTGAATGAAATGTTTTACCAGATGCGCCGATATTTAAATTATTAAAAAGAAAATGCCGATCCATCCAACGATATTAACGTCTTGTAATATGTTGTAAAGGTAAAGAATAAAAAATTAAACAAATCTTGTTAGGTAGTAATAATAACGATTCTAACATAATTACTTTGCACACGGGGTTATTTAAAGTCGACGATATTATAAAGTGAATTTATTTAAACATTTATAATGGTTGGTTTTTTAATTTATATTTAAACACATTGCATGCAATACATTTAAGTTTGTGTTTTTCTTTTTTATTGACGATGTTAATGTTATATTATTTCCTTTTATTGCGCTGTCTCTTTATTTACATTAACGTTTAGATTCTATGTTTTTCGGATAAACGACTTACACCTATACAAAACATTATTATTACACACAAAAATATAGTTATTTCTTGTAATTGTCTTTAAATATAATACTGATCAATGTAGAATGCGTACCTACACAATTCATCCATTTTATGTAGTATTTGCATTTGTTTGGATATCATGTATATATAGATACATCCATTATGGATACACATGATTCCCAAGTCTGTTGTAGATACAAAATGAAATCAGTTCATGTTTAACTGGATGTATAAAAAAAAAAAATGATACACAATAATTATTGATCAACTTGAACTGATTTGTTTCTGCAATGATTTGTGTGAAATGATTACAATAAATAACGTAGTTTTGAGTTTTATTAAAAAAATTATCACTTTTCATTCATTTGATAAAAAGAAGTTGCTTTAAACGACTTATGTGAGCAAAATACGATCAACAACATTTCTGGTGTCCTTAATTTCAATCTCAAATGCAATTTATTCCGTGAATTAGTTTGTTATTTAGAATAATTTTTATTGCATTTTTAAAATTACCACTTTCATGAAATTTGAAATCCTTCATTATTTAAAAACTCATTTTTCTAGATTGTTTTGCTCATGTAGGAATAAGTTGCATTTCACTGCTGTACCACAAAATAACCAAGTACTTAGCAAAAAATTAGTGTCCACTCAAAAAAATGTTATAAAACACTTACAAACGCTATGTCTGATCAGTATTCCGGAGCATTAAAAGGGTAACATCTCGAGACACTGTCGAATACACCTCGTGATAACACCACAACGTAGGGGATGTAAAAAGTATGCACAAAGAATACCCCTGTTAACGAGGCGTCACTGATTGAGGTCAGTTGCCTCGTTATCATATCGCCTTTACCGTAAGTACCAACTGACGAAACACACATACCTATTCGTGACCTTCGCAACAGCTGATACGTAAACAAGTCAATTGTACGTAATGATTATTAATAAACCGCACTAGTTTGCGTTCGATTGGCAGATTATTACCACAAAATACAAATATAAATGAAGTATGAAAATATCAAACAAAAACCAATGTGTTCACATGCAGAATATGCAGTAATGATGGTCACATATGGACGGTGCAATGGCGGCATCACGCAAATATGCGTTATCGTTATCATTGCCTCAGCAGTTGGGGCTTTAGGTAAGGTCATTAGCCTCATATTTATAGATATCACTGAGTGGTGCGAGATGCCTCATTATACTTCTTTTTAACGTACCTTTTTCTCCCTTAAGTACTGCTCAGACATAGCATAGATGTAGTTTTCCAGATTTAATCACAGCTTTCACAGATAGTTCCAATATTTCATGCAAAAATCATTTCTATTATAGTTTGATTACCACACCCAGTTGTGACAATCGTCGATTACTGGACAATATACTCATAAGACCGATACCTTAAGGACAAACATTTATAAATTCACCGAAATGGTGTTGTCCTGATTCGGGTCTAAATCCGTCATCGATTGGAGTTTCTTCCTAACGTTTCGCCAGTATGAGTGGTGAGCTTCCACATTCAACATAGGGAATGGAAAGAGACCTGAAGAAGCTCGCCACTTGTTCTGGCGAAACATCAGGAAGCAGCTTCAACCGATGACGGCTTTTATTCCCAAATCAAGACAACAACAACTCACTAATTAGCCGCAAAGGCCTTTACCAATTTGTTTAAATACACCTACTGAAAAGAAGAAGATCGTTAAGAAAAATTGATAGATCAGGCACGTACGTTATAAATATCTATTATTTTTGGACTATTGTAATAAATTGGTGAAATTCTTTTAATTTAACCACGATCAGTAATCGTCGACTATTACATATTTTATTTCAGTTTTTTATCCTATTGCATTTTAATTTCTACTGTTGATTATTATGAACCAATTTCATGTCTTAGACTTTTTAGGATTTCGCGTTTTCATAAAAATATTAATGACTTAAGAACTACTTGATGTTAATATTATTTACAAATTCATATGATGTGAATGGTTAGTACAATATATTAGTATTTTTTACACATTTTTTTAGACTTTCTCTCAAAAAGGAATTGAATGTTTAAATTGTAGTTACCTACAACGAATTTATCAAATTCTATAAAATTTACTGTTCATAAGTATCTATATGAAATTTTACAAGAATAAAACATTATATCGGTCTTTATAAAACCAAATTGCCTTGAAAAATTGATTGACTTTTATGTGAAGGGAAACTTCTTTATCGACGGTAGGAAGGAAATTTACTATGGTAGAAAAGTGTAACGTCACGCGTCACAGCGTCACGCGCCACGTGTCACCCCTGGTGAATATGATCTGATCGAAATAAAGTTGTAGTTTCTAAGTTTAGTAATTAGTTAACGCAATAGTTCAAGCCACTTTTTGTTTTTAAAATATAATATTAANACACGTGAATATTACCACACTTTTCGTTCTTCATTTTTACTTATTAATAGTCCTGTAGGTAATAAATTTACAAATCGTAAAAGTTTTCTTTAAACCCGCATTTAATACACCCTATGTACAAATTCAATTTGCCGACCACAAACACGTAGCAAATAGTATTGTAATCAGAACAATACTGACTGAACGATACGGCGACAGCAGAGATATCTCGACGATTTCTGTCCGAAGACAAGGTCGACTGTCATCGTTAAACGAAAGTGGATTATTGACGATGAGATAGGAAGAATAAAAAAGGACAATATGCGATAGATGCAAGCTAAAATATTATTAATACATATAGGATGCTTTTTTATTTTATTTCTTTGAGACACTTGATGAAGAATAGGATTTCGTTCATGTACATGAGACATGTTTATAATTTACATAGATTGTGATGGAGATGATAACATCAACAATAACAGCAACAACAATTTCAGCAACAACAATACCCATTAAAGAGAGCCGTATACAATTTCAAAAACTAGAGGGTGTTTTATGTAGGGTAATCAATGGAAACATTTCCCGACATTCTTATACATTTAATTTATAAACGATCTAATATGGACGCAATATACAGGATGTTCTAGCTAAGGCGGTTGCATCCATTCTTCTGTTATTACACAATAAAAAATTAAAAAAATGTATTCATAAAAGCGGTCTGGAATCATATGGTACATGTACAGAAAATATTTTCAATCATACATGGTGGTCCATTTTTTCTGGACTTTGATACTTTGTTAACTTTGTTATTTTACATGGAACACCCTGTATTATTTTTTTGGTTTCTTTGTTTAATTTTAGGTCGACTTTATTAAGAGATCCTTGTATCTATCTCGAATAATTTCTGAAATATCCAACCACTTTTATAAAAACATTTTTTTATTAAATCGTAATACAGTTATGGACGAAACCGCCTTAGATGGAACACCCTATATAACTATATCGAAACCTAATGTAATCACATAATTCGTCACCTAGACCTTAAAGCTTGAGTCAAAACTCAGATAAAATTATTTTTTTGATAATGTCAAAAATTAATTATTAAGAATATTAAAGATAATTTGCCAATCATTAATTTGTTTTAATTTTGAGGCTGGAGGTTCGCCCCTTTTTGTATGCTTGCGTAGTTTACGTAAAATATCGTGTACGGTTCTCCTCAATAATTTATTACGAATGTATAGTAAGTAGTTAAATTTTGCGGCAGTGCCACATTTTTCTATTCTAAACAATACTTAATAATACGTAATAAGTAAGTACTTACTTTTGTACCTATTAGACATATTTTATCTAAAGGTAGGAACCTATATTAGTGATGACGAGTGTCAAAGGGACTTTACTAGATTTTATCGGTTTCAGGTTGAGTCACTACGTAATAAAGTGCACCATAATCATAAGGATGAATCCGCGTTTTGGCCTTTTTATGAGCAACACTGCTAAAACAATTGGTGTTAACCCTTACAGAATAAACATTCCATCACAGAACAGTTTCCATTTCTGCTATCTCCGTTTTTGGACTGAAACAAGAGAAAAACGATACCTAAGGTCTTTTGTACTTTACACTGATTTATTCATTAAAAAAGAGTGCGAGACGATTGACCACACGGCACATTCTTCATCAATGATTGAAGCAAGTCCCTACAATTATGATCACATATGTGGTGATTTTCTAGCTTTGCGATGATTAGCACAGGAAAATGTGGAGGTGCATGTCCAACTAGTTCAACTAGTTTTAATGACCTTATGACCTTAAGCTGATGATAATGATGTGATGAATAATCACCCTCCTGCTCTGCTATGTTGCTACGTTTCTTCGGTAGGCGCTCCCCTGTACAGTGAAGAATTACGCAAAAATGTCCGAATTCTTGGATATTTCGTCAAACTTTAGTTATCACTGGATAAAATGCCGATAATAAAACAATTGAATATCTGTATAGAAATCACGCGATTATTTTAACGTTTTCCATTTCCTTTCTGTGATTTCTATGCGTGAAAACCATCCAAAAATGTTTCGAGCATATAAATTATCGGCAGGCTTTTATATATCGCAAAAAAGAAATAAAACAAAATCCCGAAATTGTCGTTAGAGGCTTTATTCGCCATAAGCGCCTTTCTTGATTCGCAATTTAGTGATCACAGCTATAAAATGGTTCAGCGTTCTTTCTTTATTGTCACAAAAGACAACCCCAATTTTCGTTCATCAGCAATGCATAATTTTAATAAATTATCACATTTTGTACGACTTAAACAAAAACCTCTTCTTAAATGCACTAAATTCGTGCAAAACAAATTTTGATATGCTACTAGTTTTAACATTCCAATATTTCGAGTTACTTACTGTTAAATCTTTGGCAACAATAAAACTTTTGTAATATTGATAGATATCATTTTGCATGAAGAGTAAAATTATCGCTTTTTAATTTGATTTACCTCTCGCCTAATATTCTTATTTTAAAGCTAAACCTGTAGATATTTTTCAGATTCTGAAGGCCTAATTTCGTTCAATGATTTCTACAATTCACGCACAGACCAACTGATTAAACTTCGTATTTTCACTAATATAAATGTAACATTAGCAATTTCCTTAGTGTAATAGAGGAAATTTCCATTTTGAATACTTAAGAGACATTTTAATACGGTCACAAGATTTTCAGTTTGCAATAAGACAAGAGAATTTATCACACAATAAACATACTCCTGTTTCCTCCGTCCGAAGATAGGAATTAATGATATTAAAAAGCATGCAATTATCAAAAGAAAGATAAGAAAATATTGGACGCATGCGTACCTGATGAAGACAAAGAAAGTTGTAACAAAACGTTTCAAAATTATATACTATTCTCTCTTGATAGCATTTAATGTTAAAACGACGTTGCACACGTGAATATTACCACACTTTTCGTTCTTCATTTTTACTTATTAATAGTCCTGTAGGTAATAAATTTACAAATCGTAAAAGTTTTCTTTAAACCCGCATTTAATACACCCTATGTACAAATTCAATTTGCCGACCACAAACACGTAGCAAATAGTATTGTAATCAGAACAATACTGACTGAACGATACGGCGACAGCAGAGATATCTCGACGATTTCTGTCCGAAGACAAGGTCGACCGTCATCGTTAAACGAAAGTGAATTATTGACGATGAGATAGGAAGAATAAAAAAGGACAATATGCGATAGATGCAAGCTAAAATATTTGTTTTGACTCCAAATAAAATACGAGGAAGCGCGAAAGGCAGGAGGTACTTAAATTAGGTGAACGGGATGTCCAGGGGAGTTGGATCCCTCCCAAAGTTGAAGCAGTAGAATTTGTATTTAAAGTTGGGCAAAAATAATGTCAAATTAAATTTAACAAATTATCGCTAATGGAAATATTAAGTACTCCATACAAACAACGCGAAAATTAATTTTGTTATGATAAAGCTGTCAAACTAAAAACGCTACGCATCCTTCCTATCCTGATCAAATCTTCGCATTTCCCGAAAACTACGATACAAGATCCCACAGGCCTTAACTATTTGCGAGCAGTAAAATCTAATCTAGGTTTTCCTTTGTATTCCTTATCTCATATCTTCCTGCTATTAATATCTCTCCGAAGCGTTTTTACTGTTGTCATTCCCGTAATTTTCTTTTACATTATTTGTAAATCTAAACCTTTAGCCAAGTGTCTCAGTTTACCCCGATTTTAATTTTAAAATTATAAAACCACTGGATTGAACTCTGTTCTCTAATACACACACCTACATACGCTTTGGTCACTGGGGTAGTTTAAACAAATTTAATACAATATGTTTTAAGTGAATTTGTGTATTTCTAGCAAAAAAATATTCAACGAAATTTGTTTTTATGTAAACGGATAAGATATGCAATGAATTTCTTATTTTGCTTTTGAATTGCGTAAATACCTGCTTGCATAGAGAGAATTTAATTATTGATTGTCTTCATATGCTTGGATTAACTTACTTGAATTTTACTGCAACTAGGGTAAACATTTGTACAATCTCGAAAGCAAGAATTTCATTATCCTTTGGTACTAAAACTGGTTTCATTTAGAAATAAGGAAAATAGTTGTCGGTTAGTCTAAAATGGAATCAGGAATGTTATTTCCTGTTAAACTGTTAAATGTGGCTCTTTAGTTAGGAATCCATGGTAAAAAATGAATATTTTTGAACCAAGTTATAGTGTACTCTCATTGAAGTGTACTGTAGCCATTGTTTTTCATATCATATTTACCCTCTAAGTTTTCAGAAGATTAAAATAAAAGTAAAATTCAATTATGTAAATAAAGTTTGCGAATAATGTATTTAGTATGTACCAATTTGTAACAATAAAAAATAAGAAATAATAAAAAAAACACAATTAATTTATAAAATTTCTAGAAGAGCATTTGGGACATACATTTTTCCTGAGCAGGGGTTGACTACATCTCACACTGTTAAGAATAAAATAAAGAAAATTGTGACTGTAATACGATGACAATTTGTGGCATCGTTTTCAAAAGGAATGATTGATACTGGTGCCAAGAAAAGTTTTGTTTGAAAACTAGTATTCCCGAAACGGTTTTCAACGTTATTTTCTAGAAATTGATTGAAGTTCATGAATTGTTATGTCAAGATTTGAACATATTTCTTCTACTTTTACTTATTTATCCTTATTTTCTAAAGATTTGTAACTTTTATGTGAGAAGATTAAGAATATTAAAAATAATTTGCCAATCATTAATTTGTTTTAATTTTGAGGCTGGATGTTCACCCCTTTTTGTATGCATATGTATTTTAAGTAAAATATCGTGTACGGTTCCCCTCAACGTATGTATAGTAAGTTTGTAACGTTTATGTGAGAACATTAATAAATTTTTGAGAAAATTTTGTTTATGAAGCACGAAGTACCTAGGAAAGTAATGTCGTTATTCCTTAACCTGCATATACTTTCCGAAATTAACCTAACCTAACAACCTAACCTAACCTAACCTGCATATACTTTCCGAAATTAACCTAACCTAACAACCTAATCTAACCTAACCTAAAATTTAAACTTAACAACTTTTTATGTGTATAAAAACATACATATAGGGTTAGTAGCTCGGAGAAAATTATGTTTTCATTGATGACTCCATAAATGGAGGTAGTTTTTGTTGAGCAACTGGTTAGACGCGACTTGATCCTTTCGGGGAAGATTCTGATTTAATAGAGTCCTTTATGAGGGTGTCGTAGAGGGAACGTTTCAAGTTATAGGCTACACGGGAACGAGTTGGCCATTGAGATTAAGCGACGTTCGTTCGAAGTGTGAAAATGACGTAGAATCTGCAGTAAATTTATTGATTAAACCTCCCCCAGTGCCTAATTTGTTCTCGATGTAATAGGCTGCGTTAGCATTTCCGACCTGTTTGACCCTATTTAAATTGGTATTAGATTAATCGTTTTCGTCCATTTCTTCGGCTATTTATGAACTGCTTAACGAAACATTATCGCAACTACAAAAAATTGTCACAATCGATCTGATATATTTTCAGCTGACGGGTGGCATCGTGACGAAATGAATAAAAACACCATCTTTCAACGACAAATTATAGTATCTTTCTACGCCATTTCAATTCCGTGGTGTCATCGTAGCGGCTCTCCAGTCGTTTTTCACTGGACTCCTGCAGATTCGACTACTGACAAAATGGATAAAAACACCATTTTTCAGCGACAAATTGTAGAACTCACAGTATTTTCGACATCATTTCTATTCCGATATACGCTATGTGTACAGGTTACCGGTAAAAACACCATTTTTCAGCGACAAAACAGCGACAAATTATAGAACTCAAAGTATTTTTACTTGTCATTTCTATTCCGAGATACGTTATGTGTAGACTACCGTGGCGGATCTCCAGTCGTCTTTCGCTGGACTAATGGAACATAGACTAGCGACAAAATGGATAAAGCACCATCTTTCATTGACAAAATCAGATTGACGACAAAACGGGTAAAAATACTATTTTTCAGCGACAAAACAGCGACAAATTATAGAACTTAAAGTTTTTTTATGAGTCATTTCTATTCCCAGATACGTTATGTGTAGGCCACCGTGGCGGTTCACTAGTCATGTTTGGCTGAACTGCAGAAGGATAGATTGGCGACAATAGGGGAAAAAATATCATTTTTCAGTTACAAAAAGGCGACAAATTATAGAACTCAAAGTATTTTTTCTTGTCATTTCTATTCCGAGATACGTTATGTGTAGACTATCGTGGCGGTTGCTCAGTTGTTTTTCGCTGGACTAATGGAACATAGACTAGCGATAAAATGGATAAAGCACCATCTTTCATTGACAAAATCAGCGACAAATTATAGTCCTCACAGTACTTTTCGACATCATTTTTATTCCGATATACGCTATGTGTAGGCCACCGTGGTGGATCACCAGAGTCATTATTTGCTGGCCTACTGGGGGATTGGACGGGGGCAATACGGGTAAAAATATCATTTTTCAGTGACAAAAAAGCGACAAATTATAAAACTTTAATTTTTCTGTGAGTCTTTTCTGTGAGTCATTTCTATTCACCAGTCATTATTTGCTGGCCTATTGGGGGATTGGACGGGGGCAATACGGGAAAAAATACCATTTCTCAGTGACAAAAAAGCGACAAATTATAGAACATAAAGCTTTTTTGTGTGTCATTTCTATTCCGAGATACATTATGGGTAGACCACCATGGCAGTTTACCAGTCGTTTTTCGCTGGACTAAATGAATAGAGACTAGCGACAAAATGGATGAAGTACCGCCTTTCATCGACAAATCAACGACAAATTATAGTCGTTAAAAGTATTTTTCGACATAATTTTTATACCGACATACACTATGAGCAAGCCATCCTGGCGGTTCTTCAGTCGTTTTTCGCTGGTCTGCTGGAAGATACAATAACGACAAAATGGATCACAATTAAGTGACAAATTACCACAACTATGTGTAGTGACAGCTTGATATCAGGCTAAAATTTCGTCTGTTCTCTAGTTATTGACTGGAGCGATAAACTTTTAGATTTGATAAAAAATTAGCGATACATTAAAGTGAATCTTCTGTTGACTTTAGCATAATTCGACGTGTACCACGAAACCAATAGAGTAACATAAAATTCTGTCCCCGCTCGAATAGTACACAAGCGCCGCCACTGGCAGCAAAAATTTAAATTTTGTGGAACGATTTTTCACTTTACTACACATCAAATTTAACATTTTTAAAAATTAAATATTATATAAAAATGTTCACTCACCTAAAAATGTCGGAATTACTACCAGTCTGGTGGTTGAAGTTAAGGCTTTTAAGTCTTGCTTTTATTCCTTCCCCTGCTAGGATGACCCTGAGATCATAAAAAGCATTAATAGCTTAACGTGTTGACAATTATTATTGTACTTAAGTATATTAAACATGAAAATCACCTCTGAATTTACTCCGGAAGATATAGCTCATAAAAATTTCAATGAGCTTGTAATGCACATTTTCGCGATAAATTGGAAATTATATTACGTTATTGGACATTAAAAAAACTACATACTAAAAGTGTACTACTGTCTATAGCAACGAGATACTAAACCTACTTGAATTACATAATATACGTAGGGTCACAGAAACAGGCGCGCCCACTGCTATTTTAATAAAAAGGAATACAACGTTTTCGTGTTCCTTCATTTAGAATAGTATCAAGGACACTCAGCCCTAACATATACCACAAATTTCTCTAAAACATGGACACATTATTCTTCTAAAACAATAAAGTTAAAATCTTGGTAAATTTAATGGAATAAAAAGCTTGCATAGCTACATACATTATGTTTTACTCTATGGATAAATACTGTAAAATTTCCCGGTACAGTGACTTTTAAAAGCTGAATACCGGAAAGAATTTCGGAGCAAAAGCACAGGAAACGGAATACCCTTATACACAAAATAAGAATGACCATTTATGTTGTTCAAGTCCGAAAAGTACTCCAATAGAACCATTTGCATTGCATCGCACTGCATGACCCAGTTATTTGAGTTTTAACTTTAATTCTTCGACACAAAGGAAAGCTGTATCTCGAACGTCTGCAATGCCACAAAACACCTAATAACAACTGAGCAAATGCTTTAGTTTGCTCAAGACCTATAAATGAATTCTACGATTAAAAATGAGCTCCAAGTAATAGCCTGCAGAAAATTCGGCTTGAGAAATCATGTCACAAAAATGCTTTCAGTTCCACTGTTTTCATTTAATTTTTTATCACATTAACGACGGTGCTTTTCAAGCAACTCATTTCAAAATGAAATTAAACGTGCTTTAACTAAGAACGAGACAAATTAAAAAGTACATCGCTACCCATTTCAGTTTTAATTGGAATACTTTGTATTTTTACTTCTAGTGATGCTAAAATGAGATTCGAATCTTATTTAGATTTACTGCCAATGAAATTTGCAAGCGTCCCCTAGGCTAATTATGTTAGTATCTCAGTAGCAGTTAAATGACCACAAATGACCATATTGCCAATGGCCAAACAATGTATAGATATGGGCAATTAAAAAGGGTTTCATTGATCGTAAAAGATACACTTCATAAATGAGTAATTAACTAAATTAGATAATTGACTAAACCAATAGCCAGTTTTAAATTCAGAGGTTATAATTGTTACGATAACGCAAAAACTAAACTAACTTTGCTTCTCAAACACATTTGCAAAAATTACAAGCAGTTTTTATCACCACATACATAGAAATGTCACAATAAACAAGTATTAACTAGTCTTGTGTTGTAACTCGCCGCTGACTCGTCACATTCTCGGCACTGACTCGCCGGCATCTCGCCGTTACTATAACGAAACCGAGCAGCGGCGAGTAACGAGATGATTCATATACCAATTTAAAATAAAAATAGATCAAAATCAGTTTCATTTTGCGTTACGTTCATGATACATACTACGTTAGACTAAAATTGTTCGACTACAGGTTGCGTCCCCTATAAGTGCCTAACAACGAAGCGTTTTTCATGCAACATTTGACTTACTCGTTTGCTTCGGACGAGGGTGACAAACAGGACGAAAGACAAGTGTTGTTACGGTTACGACGACGGTGCCTATTCATACAATACAACAATAAAAAAAGTCGATTGATGAACGAACAATAACGATAAAACGGTTCAGTGGATTGCATGTAACAGCGGAAATTGTATTCGGGATTACAAGGGTATGATGTGGATACAATAACAGAAACAGAAAACATGCGAAAAGCACGGCAATTTTGATTTTTACTTTCATCTGCTTTCTTTTCTTTCACGACTTTCTTATTGACTGTTTTTAACTCATTCAAATCTTGAAATAGATTATTCTGCAGTTGCAAGTGTAGCAACTAAATTCATAAATATTTCCAAGAGGAAGTTTCTAATCCAATAGATTCATCTTTGTCATTTAAAATTTGTAGAGGGTCACACCACTAGGGGTTGTAAAATGTTTCATGGGAGAGTAATAATTTGCAATTTGGATAACTCTTGATAACTGCTGTTAGAAATACAAAGTTACCAAACAACAGCAGCGTTTCTTATTGTTTATATTGCTACGGGAATTAGTTGTTGTTAACTTGTTTGTCCCAAGTCATCATAACTTTCTAAGGTTGATTTATATTCGGATAATGATAAGATAAATATAACAACTATTAATTTGCCATGTACCAGTTCTGTTTCTCTTTTGAGAATAATATTTTTGTGTTCCGTTCGTGAAACTTTCAAATTTAAGTTTTTGAAAGAAAGAAGAGTGTAAATATTTACAATGCAAATTTCTTCTCGATATATTTATCCTTTAGCGATACTTAGAAGTTGTAAAAACATTGGCTGAAGCGAGTTTTTGTGTAAAAAAGAAAACCAAATATGTAGAGCGAAACCATGCTTCATGCACGGTGGTTGAAGAAAAATTAGAGAAAGGCTTTCAAGTCTCCAGGTGATTGACGGCAGGTAGCTACTTACTGTCTTTCAGGAGGCGGCGGTTTTATCCCATGGGATTCCAATTCCTTTTCCAGCTGTTTACATCGCATTTGGGAGATATCGAGGTCGCGCTTCACTTTCCAAAGGTGCGTGTCGCAAATGGGATCCCGACACCGATGTAGCCTTAGAATGTCCTGAGCTTCGAAAACGGCACCCCTGAAGGTCAAACTTTTTCCCATCGATAGACTTATAAGGGCGCAACAGCCTCCCTTATCTGTTTTCGCTAAATGTTTACGGACGTATTTGAAATAGAGGTGCTCGAGCAATAAGAGCAAAGCCGCCAATAAAATTCCGGCCATCAGCAGAAGAAACGCCGACAAGAATTGTTCCAGAGCCAATGGATCGGAACTCTTATGCTCCTGTTTGCCAGGCTTACATGTTCCTGTCATCCAGTAACGCCGTAATCTTTCAAGATCACCGTTCTCTCGAAAATCGAGCAGTTTTTTGTTGAACATTTTCAAGTATTTTGAATTGCGGGGAAACGCCAAGCCGTAGCCTGTCATTGCGTACCTGAAACAAGAGGCGAGCTCTTGTCAATACAATACCGCACGATACATCATGTGGAGCAAGCGGTGTGTATTCACGGCGAGCTACAGATGAGTTCTTAACGAGTACACTAAAGTAATTTAAAAGTCAAACCGTACCCTATCATTGCATACGTTAAACAAGAGGCGAGCTCTTCAATACAATACCGCACGATACATCATGTGGATCAAGCGGTGTGTGTTCACGGCGAGCTACAGATGAGCTCACAACGAGTACACTAAAGTAGTTTAAACGCCAAATCGTAACCTATCATTGCATACGTTAAACAAGAGGCGAGCTCTTGTCAATACAATACCCCACGGTACATCATGTGAAGCAAGCGGTGTGCTTTTAGGGCGAGCTACAGATGAGTTCTTAACGAGTACACTAAAGAAGTTTAAACGCCAAACCGTAAACTACCATTGCATACCTTAAACAAGAGGCGAGCTCTTGTCGATACAATACCGCACGATACATCATGTGGATCAAGCGGTGTGTATTCACGGCGAGCTACAGATGAGTTCTTAACGAGTACACTAAAGGAGTTTAAACGCCAAACCGTAACCTATCATTGCATACGTTAAACAAGAGGCGAGCTCTTGTCAATACAATACCGCACGATACATCATGTTGATCAAGCGGTGTGTATTCACGGCGAGCTACAGATGAGTTCTTAACGAGTACACTAAAGGAGTTTAAACGCCAAACCGTAACCTATCATTGCATACGTTAAACAAGAGGCGAGCTCTTGTCAATACAATACCGCACGATACATCATGTTGATCAAGCGGTGTGTATTCACGGCTAGGTTCAGATGAGTTCTTAACGAGTACACTAAATGAGTTTAAACGTCGAACCGTAACCTATCATTGCTTACCTTAAACAAGAGGCGAGCTCTTTTCAATACACTACCACACGATACATCAGCAAGCGGTGTGTATTCACGGCGAGCTACAGAAGAGCTCCTAACGAGTACACTAAAGGAGTTTAAACGCCAAACCGTAATCTATCATTGCATACCTTAAACAAGAGCCGAGCTCTTGTCAATACACTACCACGGGATACATCATGTGGATCGAGCGGTGTGTTAACGGCGAGCTGCAGGTGAGCTCTTAACGAGTACACTAAAGGAGTTTAAAAGTCAAACCGTAACCTATCATTGCATACGTTAAACAAGAGGCGAGCTCTTGTTAATACAATACTGCACGATACATCATGTGAAGCAAGCGGTGTGCTTTTAGGGCGAGCTCCAGATGAGCTCCTAACGAGTACACTAAATGAGTTTGAACGCCAAACCGTAACCTATAATTTCATACCTTAAACAAGAGGCGATCTCTTGTCAATACAACACCACACGATACATCATGTGAACCGAGCGGCATATTTTCACAACGAGCCGTAGATGAGCGCTTAACGAGCACCCTGAGAGAATTAACCTACTATAGATCATTACCGTACCCAAATTTAACAGAAATGTATAAATAGAAATATGCAGTCATGAGCAATTCGTTCAAAGATTTCTAAAAGTATGTTCTGATTCGTGTTAAATCGCTTGGATACGAAAATCTTTAAAACTGCAATATCGGGAGAACATTTTGAACTTAGGTATAAGTGCGAGTATGGGGAATAGTCGCACTTTATCAACTTTTAAGTTTGAACTTGCAATGTGACGCCTTTTGTTTGACACATTTCTGTAACGCTCTGCTTTAAGATGCATGAAATTGTATTCTCGTAAGTAGTTCGCCGTCTCAAATTTTTAAAATAAAATTGGAAGGATATATTATAAAGGAAAAGCTTCTGCCATAGCAATACTTTTGCGTTCCACGAATGGCGTTATCAATCAAAAACAAATTGTCTCACATATTTACAAGATAAGTATTAGGTAATACGTTTTGATGAAGCGTTGGCATGATCCATTTTGACACACAAGACGATGTAAATTGAGAAGGAAGTAATATTTCAGTTTTATACATCACTCTTTAAAAATGAATCAGTGGATTTTCAGCAATTTTCAGTGAATGTATACTAATCTTCAAAATTTTGCTATCTTCAAATAAGTAAGTAACTAACTACATCAGTACAAAATAGCTGAGTGAAATATTTTGATTACTGCTTTTTCAATTAATTATCACTAATTTATTGAGAATATGAGTTTTTGTGTCAATTTTTCACTATTTTAAATTTGCACCATAATTTAGAATGTTTTTTTTATGTATATTTAAAGAAGCACGTCTCAGAAGGGAGCGTATGCTACCAAAGGCTTTTCCGTAACTTTTTACATTTTGCTCTTGCAGGGACTTAAAGTTCTGCTTCATTTGGCAATTTGTCTCATTTTCTCGTAGTAGTTTTCATATAAATTTCCTGTTTAAAAGTTCATTCTGCTTACTTCGTAACTTCCGCAATCTGTTCTAGTTTTATGGACTTCTGATTAAGTTAGATTTCGTGCATACCTTCCAAAGAACTTCTCTTCGTTTTCAAGAAATAAAATTACAACGCGGGCAATTAACACAACTGAATACTCATACTCAGAGGTAAGAGTTCTCGTATCTGCATTTTCAAATTGGAAACCAGAAAAAGATATTTATTACATCTTTTTGCCTTTGTTGTCACTTCTTCAATAAACCGAAAAGTAGGTACCTTTCAATTAAAATACACTGAAGTTGATACTGGATAATCCTTACAATAATGTTCGTGAAAGTATTTAGTAACAGTTCCTTCAAAATGTTACTAAAATAGTAGTGCTACTGTCACATAGTGTTCGTAATTTCCAAAATTATATTTTTCATTTTCCCGGAATAGAGTCTACATAACCTTCAAAACGCAGAACCATGGTATGCAATTGTATCTGTTATGTTTCCGGGATATATTGGGTTACTTTATGAAACGCGAAAATGCTACACCGAATGTATACAGGGATACGCGACCAACGTGGGTAGAAATAAAATTCCAAGGGTTCCATATGACGAAGACAAACACTACGTGGGGTCCTATAAAGAGCAAACCTAAACGAGAAAAGGAGGAAGAGTCCGAGGAGGGAGATTAAGTGAGATCCGGGTGTGAAACCGGTAGGGAGAGATGAACCAATGGTCCAAATAGTTCGGGAATCATCGAATCTCCAATAGTGACTTTTAAACCAGAAAACAAATTACAGATCCAAATTAGTCCTTTTTTGTTTATCTCCCGAAAATAATAATACTTGGATAATTGGATAGGGCTTCTCCAATGGTGCTCAGAAGCTACTGAACTTACAAACACGATCGTTTTGTTCAACTCTTAATCTTAAATTAGAGAATGAATTACAGATAGGAAAATAGCTCTTTTCATGCTGTTCATTCCACCATTAAACTAGTCCGCGGATACAGGAATGTTAAACAAAGACATTTTGCTTTTTAACATTCACCACATTTTTATGCACAATGTCATCTGCTTTTTTGATAAGGGAATACTAGAACATTTTTGAAATGCGCACTAAAACCGTGACTTTTTGAACGATCTGCAATAGAACGTAAAAGTGCACACGACTGCAAAGAATTGTCTCTGACGTAGATATATCACATCGCTAGCTCTGAATGGAGTGTATTTCACAGCCACCTGTTCCATAATAAAACTTGACGAGAGAATATCTTTTTCGTTCCGAAAAACAATAGAGAAGAGCATTTCCTCTCGGTATTGTTGTCAAACGCCAAGTAAATAATTGAGGTTTTAACGTTCCTATTTCATGAATTTATAAGAGTAGTAGTATAAGCAGCGGGATTCTGACACGTTTCTGGGTTATGTACGTCATCAATATGGCGACCGTTTTATACATTGGTTTCAGTAAGTATTTGAAATAGTTCAGAGATTAATCGACTTACCATGATCCAACTGTTAGCAGTCGACAATCTTCATCTTGAACCGTAAGATAGTCCAAAACGGTGCCGTCGTAGATGAAGGCGTCTAAATCACTGGACAGCACCGCTTCTACTCCTTCTTCAACACTCGTCTTATTGAACTCTTGCATGTAGTGATGCATGATGGGAAAGTATTTGGCAATTGTCGAGTCACTGTGGGACCACGGGATGGTTCCAAATTTGAACATCGGCTTATTAGAAAACGGCCTGGAAAGGCGAGGATCATCTAAACCTGCAACAAACGAAAGGCAAATAATAAAATCTGCAAAACTGACTGATATTGAATTTTGTCTTGATATAAATCTTCATAATAGTTACCCTTAATCACTTTAAAGGAGATATCTTTTAAACAAACATAAACAGTTAATAAACTTCTTGCTGTTCTAAATTAACGTTTCATCATCACGATCATCAGCTCCCGACTACATGAACATTATTATGTAAACTTAAATTGCTTCGTGAAGTCATTAGGGTAAACGACAGATGTAGACGCTTTCGAATATAAACATGAATCTATATAGGAGTTCCTACCTTTACATTCAAAATACTTTTCTCTAGTCCACGAAATTGGCATTGTAGTTACCCTTAATCACTTTTTAAAAGGTACCTACTTCTTTTATGCAAACAATTTTTTGTAATATTAATAATTAATGAAATTCTCACTGTTCTAAATCTACATTTATGTCTACGCATTACATAAGTATGTTGTCATATTAGTATTCTATGAGGATGAACTGTTCATCACACTCGCGATTGCCAGAATATTATTACATAAATTGAAGTTGCTTCGTGAAGTCGTTAGCGTAATAGAGGGGATGAAGACGCTTTTGAATATAAATATGAAACTGTACAGGGGTTCGTACCTTTAAATTCAAAATATTCTTCTCTGGTAATCATGAAAGCCGCGAGATTGGCAGTGTAGATGGCAAGGAAGACGACGGCGAAAAGGGCCCAGACGTTGGTCATAAAACGAGCGGTAAATCCCCGCGGTGAATCGACGTGAACTGCAGCTTGAAATAATACCGCCCAAACAAGCCAATACGTTCGAAACAATGAAAATCGATGAGGTGTTGTCGATCCCTATAACAAAAACGGAAATAAACAATCCTTCCTTTTATCTACAGTTACGATTCTTACTTGGTTAAGAGACAGTCTCATATTGAAGCCGCTTGGTGACAGCCATTCGAATAGAAATATTGTAAATGTTGCTGCCTGAATTGCAACAACTCCCACGAGCATCCACGACGCGGTATCAAATGGCTCGAGGAAAGCTGTAGGTGATATTATTCCTGTTCTCTTTGCCACCAAGATTGCTATCCCGGTTTCCATAAAAGGGACACTAAAGTCCACCTACAACAATAAAAACCTTACTGCATTCTTGCTCGTTCAAAACAAACAAAATTTTGATAAAACTACTCCTAAAAATTGCACAACTATAGTGAAATATATGGGTCTGCATTAAATACATTTTTGCTTCATTTTTTCCAATTTATTTTTATTTCTGATGTCTTCCTTGTAGTATTTTCATGTAGTATTGGTAAGTTACCTTACGTGATACGCATTTACAATGTACTGGATCTTATCGTTATTAAATTACAAGTCGATATTGATTATTTATGAAAGGCTTGTCAATTGAATATGCCAAGTTTATTGAACAGTAACCGTGACCAAACTACGTAATAGACCATGATGCAGATGGGTATACAACTGATTTTGGATGTCATATGCAAGCTGCGAGCGACATAAAACGTTATAGCATACACGACGGGAAGATTATGGTACAAGACTTGTCCACAGGTGTGACATTATTTGCAAAGTTCCCTTAAATTTAATTAATTAATAAAGCACGATAAGACGTCTCGTTAAACGATAGAGCACAGTGGGCCACAAGGCACAAAAAGGAAGAAAAAAAAACATTAACATTCAAAGCCATTATCTACCTACCTACTGTTATTGCAAAATAAAATTAATTATCTCCATTAATTGCATTAAAAGGCAGCGGCGGTTACTAAGGTAATAAAATCATTTATTAAATTCGGGGAACAATGTATAACTCGGTTTCAATTAATTGTGACCCTTTTAGTAAAATTACAAGAACTCTGGCCAGTTTCTACAGCAACTAGATAAAGTAACTATAATTTAATTTAACAAATAACGCTGTGTTCGGTACCCTACAACAAACTGTGTTCCTCGTTTGTTTTTCGAGCAAGAAAGTATTATATTTACGGTCTCGTTGTCTCATGTTTTTGTGCGAGCAAGTTTTAAAACGAAACAAGTCAGGGTTACTTAATTTAGTATGTTGGAGGGTATGCTGCTTTATTTAGTACAGAAAACAACAACAACAGTTATAAAGTTGTGATATAGCAAACCATAAAGTTAATAAAGGTCGAAAAGCCTGATATTGTAATATGTTATCAGTATCTGAACAATAATTATTGAGGAGTGATCAAAGAGTGCAAAAATTAAATACCCAAAGTCTTCCTGATAAAAGTCAATTAACAATTCCCTTATATGAAGATTGGAAAAACTTTGGCGGTTGTTGTAGAACAAACAGAACCCCAACGCCAATACACGACACTGTAGTTGTCCAACTACAGTGTCGTGTTTTGGCGTTGGAACAATTCCCTTGTTTTTACCATACGTTACCTTTAAAACAGTATAAATTGAATATGTTGAATTGAATGAATTGAGTATGAATTGAATTAAAAATGCATTACGAATTTAAATCTAGAAATATTAAATAGATTCGACCTTTACTTGCTAAAAATCTAATGAATAAAATAAGACTACATGATTTTCACACACTTTTATTTCACAAGTAAAAATTGTTTCGTTAATCTTGGTAAGCATTTAAAGTCTGAGGAAGCTAAGACTGACGAAACAATTCTTACTTGTGAAATAAAAGTGTGTGAAAATCTTGTCTTATTATTTTATTCACTTAAATCTTCATTTCTCTCTTCTTCCAATTGGTGATTTTTTTTCTTAAAATAAATTTAANCTTGGTAAGCATTTAAAGTCTGAGGAAGCTAAGACTGACGAAACAATTCTTACTTGTGAAATAAAAGTGTGTGAAAATCTTGTCTTATTATTTTATTCACTTAAATCTTCATTTCTCTCTTCTTCCAATTGGTGATTTTTTTTCTTAAAATAAATTTAAATTTTTAATTCCTTCATAATGGAGCATTACGTTGAAGAACTAATAAAATGAGTTCTGCAGTTCACTGTCATTAATTTTTGAGCACTCTGTATACATCATGTACTAAATGAGATTATAAAATGAATATATAACAGTACATCCCAGGTAGCTATCTATCAAACTTTTAATGATCCGACCAAGATTCTAATGAGTCGTTATACGGAGAACTATATCGTCTTAACATATTCTGTGACGATGGGCATTATTTTACAACGTTAACTGATAAATTATACAGCAAGCGTCATAAAAATAAAAGGATCATGATCATATATACGTTGACATTACGTTTCATCACTGGCAGAGCTACTAACAGGAAGATGTCTTCTCGTAATATCATATTCTGCAATTTGCCGACTATTAAAAAATTTAATTAGGAGATCGAATTATATCATAGAGGTACTTTTCATATCCAGGGTGATATTCTTTAGTCAGAATATTAAATTAAAAACTACCAATTTTAACGTATTCGAGAAGACAGAAAACAATTGCGAAAAAGTGCGCGGGTCTAAATAAATACATTCGAGTCTATAATTGGTTGCATATACATCTATGCACTTAGGGCTTAGGTTAAATTAAGCGGGAATAGTTTCAAGTGGAAATTTAATGAAAGTAATATATTCAATGAATACAATTAATTGTTTTTATATATAGTACTTTGTAATTATGTAAGTAATTTAGTAAGTAATTAATTTGTTATAGTAGTTTATATACGTTTACTCCTGATACAATCGAGGAGACAACTGGATAAAACATATCTCACCCCTTTTAGTTAAATCTCTTTGAATTCACTAAAAATAACATGTTCACAAGTGATACACTTTCACATTTGTGTCAAACGAATGCAGAATATATTACATTTATTATTTCAATTTTGTTCATGCCCTGAAATTTTCACGTTTATTTAGTTTAATTTAAACCACAGATTTTGAAATTTCTAGAAACAAAGCTTTATTCATATTAGAATTATGAGAAATTGTTTCTGTAAATTCCCGAGATAAAAATGTTTAATCTCTTAGAGTCTCTGAAAGCGAGACTCGAGTCTCCGTCTCTCATCGAGTCTCTCTGGTGTCGCTGAGAGAGACTGTCGAGAGACTCTCAAAAAAACTGTTTAGCGTCTCTGAACGAGAGTCTCGAGTCACTCATAGAGAGATCCTCATTTCGTATCCAGTCTCTGAACGAGGGACTCGAATCTCTGAACAAGAGACTCGAATCTCTCAATAAGTGGTGTCTCGAAAGACATATTTTAGAGATCCCAGTCTTTCTACGAGAGACTCGAGTCTCTCAATTTTTCAGTTTTATTCGTTGAGTCTCTCTGTGAGAGATTCGAATCTCTGAATTAACAATTTTATCGTTCGAGTCTCTCATACAGAGACTGTGAGAGATCCATAAAAACACCTAGGCAATAACTGAGAGACTGCGAAAGACTGCGAGAGACGCTCTCAGAGACGCTATAAGACTCTGAAAGACTCTGAGAGACTAAAAATTTTTGTCTAGGGTTTCCAAATAAACTTTCTTATTGTTATCATAATTTTATAACCAGATAATTTCTCCTATTAGTAGATTTCCTTATCTATTGTTAATTCTATCTACTAATTACTGGACTACTTACCGCTGCCTCTCGTTCAGCATTGATAGTCAGCGATGTCATGACCATGTCCGTCTTTCTATTAGCTAAATCAGCAATGAGTCCATTCCATTTTCCGTTTTCATTGACACCCCATTTACCGTCTTCGACACGAACTAATTCGTACGTAAATCCTAATTCTTCGGAAAACTTTTCCAGCAGATCGATGCAGAAACCGGAACAACACTGGTAGAAACTTCCATTACGGTGAACTTGACTTATGTTGACCCTGGAACAAAGAGTTTATAAGAAACGAAACAAAAGAAGGACTGGAAAACCCCGTAGAATAACAACAAAATTTAATTTAAATATCAGTTGCAACATCCAACAAGATCCTGCAAATTCTTTTGGTTTAAATTCTGGTCGTAAAGTACTAGACATAATGTAACAAAACGTTTAGCCATAAAAGTCTTGAAAATCATATTACTTTATGTATATTTTGGCCAAATGCACAGCGAACAAGGATAACACAACATATTTTTCTTGTATACCGATCGATATAGGTAATAAAGGTAAGCGCACACTCATCGGAATCGGACGACCGCCGGATAGAACGGCAGGAGAAAAAATAAACCATATAAATTTAAAAACAAATGCAATAGGCACGTTCTGTTGTAATTTCTTTAAAATTTTTGTTCCCGTTTTGAATTAATAACTTAGATCATCTGCTCTTTTTGTTTTTATCAATACCAGAATGAAAAACTCGTTATCAATAACCATGTAACAGATGCGATTCAACTTTCTGATAGAGACGAAAAGTTTTTTTAACTTTTACCCTGTTCGAAAACAAACAAGGCTGTAACTGCAGAGCGTGTGTTCAACAAATATAAAAGTAGAAAGCACTCGGTAAAGTCATTAGGTAGAAATCAGGATTTGTTTGTATAGTTTATCGTTTCTAATTAACGCGAGTTTCGAGCTGTAAAGTGTTTTAACTAATTAATTACAATATTACGTAATTAATCAATTACGAGAACTAATCTGAGGAATTCGTGCAATGAAATTGTTTCAGATAAAGGGCCACGATTTTCTATAAATGACAAAAACTTGACTTTTAATTATAATTAAGTATCTACCCAATTACAGGCGCGTATAGAACATAATATTTTTCAGCAGGAATGTTACAGGACCTATCATCTAAACCCTTTTACAACATGCCCTATTAAGACCGATGTCGACTTTATCTGGATACCCTATTTCAATCCCCATTTAGCCCCAACATGGTTGTCCTACCTAAACCCTGATGGAGCTCTGATGCTAACACTTTATTTCAACCCTTGTAACGTCTACGACTGAAAGAATCAGTGTTCTGTCTTTGCTCACTCAAGCTACCGCTTAATTTGTTTTATTTGAAAATAATTCAAGCGGTTGTAAACGGTTTTTAGATTGATTCGTACCGACTATACCTATAATGGATATAGAAGTTTGTCTTGTATTATAGTTTTAGTTCTCCCATGCTATCAACGGATACAATACCTTCTAAAACAAATATTTTCTTTCGTAGTTATTTTAAATTCCGGTGGTAGACATAAGCCGTTGGCAGTCCGCGATACTGTCGGCTTACGCCCTGACTAAAGACCTGCATTATCAGACTTTACTGGAGTATGTTTAACATGCTTTGATATACATCGCATGCATGAGGATGAGAGCCTTTAGTTCACTTTATACAAACATTGTAAAACGTGTAAGCTTTCTGTACCCGGTGGAAGTTTTTGAGCTCTGTTTAACCCAAGTTCTACCATACTCAGAGAGACGAAAACTAAATATTGTAGCATGTTACAAATGCTGTTGTTTTAGGGCAGTAAATCGTAATATTAACTCAGAGGTGTCCCTTCAAAAGTAAAAAATACAGAAAGAAGCATTTCTTAGAACGTTTTTATATTCATAGATACTGTAGAAAATTAAAAGAAGTGGATGATTTTAAGATTGTTAAAGGTGAATGTTTGGAGCGCAGCGTTGTACGGGTGCGAAACATGGACGGTGGACGCTGGTGGAAAATAAAAGGTTAGAAGCATTCGAAGTGTGGTGTTAAGGGCGAATGATGAGGATAGAGTGGATAGAGAAGGTTAGAAATGAAGGGGTATTAGAAAGAATAGGAGAACAGAGGATTCTATGGAAGTCAATAAGAAATAGACGAGTTAGGTTAGTAGGGCACCTACTCAGGCATGAAGGTCTAGTCAGAGACATATTAGAGGCATAAACGGGAGTTAGGAGGGGTAGAGGTAGACCTAGATTAGATTACTGTTCCCAAATAGTTAAGGATGTGGGTTGTTCTAGTTTTAAGGAAATGCGAAGTTTAGCTCAGGATAAGAAAAAGTGGAGGTACGTGTCCAACCAGTCTTAGGACTAACGACCTTATGATGATGATAAAATATTGAGAACGTCAGAAATGAAGAAATATTAGAAAGAGTAGAAGAACAGAGAACGAAAACTAAAAAATAGGTAGGACACATTCTGAGGCATGAAGGTCTAGTCAGAGACATATTAGAGGCAGAAATGTAAATTAGGAGGAGTAGAGGTAGGCCTAGATTGGATTACTGTTCGCAAGTAGTTAAGGATGTGGGTTGTTATAGTTTTGGGGAAATGTGAAGATTAGCCCAGGGTAGGAAAGAGCGGAGGTGCGGGTCCAACCAATCTTAGGACTGACCACCTTATGATGATGATGATGATAATTGTATGTATAAATGTGTAAAAGAAAATAGTAAAGTGCAAGGAAAAGTAAGGAAAATTTGAAAAGCACTATGAAAAAGGGTATTGCTTCAGAATGAGTTAAACAGCTTGTTTAACAGATTGAAACGTAGAGCACATGTATTATCATTGATTTTGATCTCTCTATTAATTTAGACATTTGCAAAAGTTTTGCGTATCATTTTCCTTTGCCTTTCCAATAATAATTTAGATTAATATACGCGCCTACTGAACAATATTATGTGATATTGCTTCTCGGAAATTGTATATTAACATAAGGAGCATTATTGTTAGTTAATTACTTAAATAAGGTAAGAGGAAGTTTAGCGCTATAGCAACCGAAGACTTTGCAAGTAGGACTAAATTATCTGGCTTCCTGCATGTATCTTTATTATATATTTAACAAATTAAGGAGTTAGTTTTCTCTGCTTCTCGAAAGGCGGTATTATTAAGCAACTTAATTGAATTATTAATTAATAACACACAGAAGTTAACAACTAACTATTAAGAGCTGAAAGTTATCTTAATTAATCTTTAACAAACGAAGACGTTATATAACATTTACTAAACAATTATCCAATCGCAAAATAGTAACCTAAGGAACGTTTCTCGAATACTGATGACTTTTTCAAAAAACTCTGCATTTCCCTAAAACGACCACATCCCACATCCTTAAATACTTGTAAACCTCTACCTCTACTCTTCCCGTAGGAAAAATTTCCATTGAACGTCAATGGGAATCAAGGGAAAATTTGTAAATTCCATTCAAAACCATTTGGCATAAATGGAAAAACAATTGTTTCCATTTACAATATAATTTCATTAATATTTACATAGGAAAAGTTTCCATTGATTTTCAATGGGAACCAACGCAAAATTTATAAATTCTATTTANAACCTATCTCGCCTATATTCCATTGACATCCATTGAGTTCTCTGTTCTCCTATTCCTTCTACTATCTCTTCATTTCGAACCTTCTCTTGCTTGTAACGTTTTCTTTTCCGCCGCGCCCACCGTCCATGTTTCGCACCTGCACAGCGCCGCGCTCCAACAACACACCTTTAGCAATCCTTTTCGAATTTCTAAATTAATCATTCGCGAGCATAGAAGGACTTCTTTTTATTGAAGGCGACTCGACCATGCACTACCCTCTGTTTTATATCCCCACTACTCCTTCCGTCCTGACTTATCGGACTGCCTATAGATACCTGAAATCAGCCACTTCTTCTAATTTTTCGTCTCCTATCTTTATATTCGCTCTTTCTCTACTTTTTCGTTCCTTGCATACCAGTATAATGCCATTTAATTATTATCAGTGGTAATAAATGGAGAATTGCCAATGGGATGAATAGAATTCTAGTGGAAATTCCATTCATCCCATTGGCAATTCTCCATTTATTACCATTAATTATTATCAGTGGTAATAAAATGGCATTTTTTTAATGGAAATAGAATGGAAATTTTTCCTACGGGTTAACTCCTGTTTCAGATTCTAATATGTCTCATAGCTAGTCCTTCACGCCTAAGAAGGTGTCCTACCAACCATTTAGCCTAATTTCTTAATGACTTCCATAGCGCCCTCTGTTCTCCCACCCCTTCTAACATTCTTTATCCACGGTATCCTCATCATTCGCCTGTAACACCACATTTCGAACAATTCTAACCTTTTCTTTTCGGCGACACGACCTTGCGCTATCCTCTGCTTTATATCCCTACTACTCCTTCCATCCTCACTTATCTGACTTCCTAGGTATCTAAAATCAGCCACTACTTCTAATTTTTCGTCTCCTATCTTTATATTCGCTCTTTCCCTAGTACAAAATTCATTGCAAGATTCTTCGAAAAGAGGCAGGTTTAATAAGTTTTACAGTCAAACAACTAATGAATGTTACACAATAAAACATATAATAAAAATTAAACAAAAAACCAAACGCTCCGTATTTGGAAAAGGAAACATTTGAGAACCTACGCTTAAATAACCCTTTTTTGTCTAATATTTCTCAAATGTACCGTGAGATATTGAGATGCAATTGGAAAACACCCTCTGTACATCAAAAATTGTTGAAGCGCCGTTATAGATCGTCCAAGAATTCAAAATATAGGTATATGTATTGCTCAAGACTATACGCAAAATATATAGAAACGTAGCGATTCCATCTTCAGCATTTCTTGAACAGACATCTAACAGATATAGTAGTTTCTTGGAACCATCAGTATACGAACTAAAATTGGAATCTTGTAAATTGTGTAGATAAAAGGATGCTTGCTTTATTAAATTTACAGTCATGTTACGAATTCATTCGCATTGGAGTACGTTATTTCCTTTTCAAAAGATTGTTTCAATATACAATGTAAACTCTTTATAACGTCACTCGATATAACGACAAACTCCTTAAAACATCGAAATTGCTTGACTTTGGTTGGTTTACATTTTTTTCTATACAATATTACACTCTATATAGCGTCACGCTCACTCTATTTAACGACAACAANAGTTCATAGACATGACCCATTTTTATCGATTATTATAGCGACGATTAACAGGAAACAGGCGTCATCACGCTCGACTTTGATGAAAAATATACTGTCAAAATAAATGAAGTTAAATGCAACGGATGTTTCGTTCGCGTTCATAAGATTCGAAAACCTACGAATTACAGGGTGTGATAGGGCACTATAAAATAAATGGGACTAGTCCAAAAGTCCACACCGTTTTCGAAAAAAACGTACTTGAAAGCACAGGCAACAACCAGACCTCGGAATGATCAAGCAGAAGAATGCGACACTGCTACGCCGCATTCAATCAGCTGCTACTTAGCAGTATCCGTTCTGTATTTCAGTGGTATTTTTATATTCATATATTTATTGTTATTTGTTAATTTTTAACGTTGTAGGCTCGTATTACATATGTAAACAGTCGAAGTTATAAGAAGTAGGTCAATGTGTCAGTGCCATAGGCCAGTGCAAAAAAGTGTACAGTAGTTATTTAATTAATTGTTATCGGAATGGGCGTCGTGTTGTAGCGTAGTAATCAGCTGTTGATATTTACTTTAGCTGCTTACTTGTTATCACAATTTCTCTATACGTTGCTAATTCACGCCCAGGGCCGGCTTCGGATTGCAACTTCGTCTGGTTCTCTTACAATTTCTTTTTGTCCTTTAACCACAATGCTTTACTCACCATACGATTCCCTACTGCATGTAGTTATTGCCTTTCAAAGCTTGCTACTCATTTCAGAAACACCCTGTCTATTAGGTCTTATGTATCAAATAAAAGTTTCAAGAAAGCTTAATTGTTTTTGATTCATTACACTTACACGTCTATTGTGTTTGCCTGTAACATCAAAAGATACTTTTCATACTCATATGGTTATTTTTATAGTATGAGGCACAAACGACCCTTAAATTTTTTTTTTCTGTTTGTAGTTTTTGGATTGTTCAATATAAACCGGTCAAAATTGTGAAAGAAACCTGATTAAAATTAATTTGTCCACAAATTTATAAGATGTAAGATTTTCGTTACGAACGCAACGATTCATTTCGATTGACTTTACTCTTTTATAGTATTGTTATTGAGCGCGATAAAGACAAGATTAACTTTAGTTTATCGTACCAATACAAACTGACTACACCAATAAACGTACAGGTCAACTTTTCCAGCCAACAATAAATTTCATAATTGGCTCAAACCGAAACAATAAAATATGGTTTTATGGCGTACTGGAGGTTTTGCAGTTATTTCCGGATAAAATTTAGTAGAAATTATAGTACCCATTTATCCAACTTGTGCGCCGCTTATGACTTTTATTATTGCAGTTCATGCAAGTTTATGTCACCATTCATTACTGATTTAGCTAGCATCAAGATTGCTTCTAGTTAATGATAAGGATATTTGCTTTTATATATTTAGAAAGAATAATAGCTAGACTCTCTAAAAAAGGCATATTTTTACATTAGAAAAATTTGGGAATGTGTTAAATGATTTAAAACCGAAATAAAGGACATTAAGAAATTTAAAAGTGAACAGCTGCAGCCCTGATTCGGGTCTTCGTTTCCCTGATTCGTAACGTTTCGCTAACACGAGGGTCAAGCTTCTTTAGAAGTCCTTCCATCTTTGGTACTGGGTAAGCCCTGATTAGTCTTCTAAAGAAACTAGGCCACGATATCCTTTAATAATGTGTCAATTTAAAAGTAATTACTGAAACAGTTAGCGAATACTTGTTCGCTGCAAATAATGCAGTCACATTGTTCATATAATAACATGTTTTTTTTATAGCATCAAAACCTGCCGCTTACAGGAGGTGATAGAGCACCATAAAACAATAAAATAAAGTAAATGATGGGACTATTCCGAAAGTCCACACCATTTTCGATAAAAACGTATTTGAAAGTACAGGCAATGACAAGTCCGGCTCTGGTAGGATCACGCACAAGAAAGCGCCAATGCAACGTCGCATTCAATCAGCTGCTACTTAGCAGTATCCGTTCTGTATTTCTTTTGTATTTTTATATTCATGTACTTTTTGTTGTTTGTTAGTTTAGATTTACAACCAGTCTAGAGTAGTTCTTTGTTCTTTTAACGTTGTAGGCTCGTATTACGTATGTAAACAGTCGAAGTTATAAGAAGTAGGTCAATGTGTCAGTGCCATAGGTCAGTGCAAAATGGTGTACAGCAGCTATTTAACTAATTGTTATCGCATTGGACGTAATGCAATGTAGCATAGTAATTAACTGTTGAAATTTACTTTAGATGCTTAGTTATTATCGCAATTTCTCTATAAGTACGTTGCTAATTGTTCACTAATTCATTTACTGGCCAATGAGGATAAACAAACGCTGAGATCATTCGTCTTGACTATCTCATAGCATAACTTACATAGACTTTTTTTTTGATAGCATCAAAATCCGCAGCAATTATTATATTATTAAAACAATTATTTCTGCTACTTACTCGGCCATAACAGCGTCTGTGGCTACCCTACAAAGAACACCCCGATCCATGGAGCATTTACCGCTGACAGGATCAGGAGGGGTCAGAAGAATGTAAGGTGGCTCTTCCAAAAATGTGATTTTCAAATGGAATTTTTCGGGCACTCCCTGGGGAGGCGNATATCATAACTTACATAGATTTTTTTGATAGCATTAGAACCTGCCGCTTACAGGAGGTGATACAGCACCATAAAACAAGAAAATTAAGTAAATGATAGGACTAGTTCGAAAGTCCACACCGTTTTCGAGAAAAACGTATTTGAAAGTACAGGTAATGACCAGTCCGGCTCTGGTAGGATCACGCACAAGAATGCCCCAATGCAACGTCGTATTCAATCAGCTTCTACTTCTACAGTACTTCTACAGCAGTATCCGTTCTGTATTTCAGTGGGATTTTTGTATTCATATATTTTTTGTTATTTGTTAGTTTAGATTTACAAGCAGTGTAGAGTAGTTCTTTGTTCTTTGCTCGTATTACGTATGTAGACAGTCGAAGTTATAAAAAGTAGGCCAATGTATCGGTGCCATAGGTCAGTGTAAAATGGCGTACAGTAACTATTTAACTAATTGTTATCGCAATAGACATAATGTAATGTAGCATATTAATCAACTGTTGAAATTTACTTTAGATGCTTAGTTGTTATCGCAATTTCTCTATACGTTGCTAATTGTTCACTAATTCATTTACTGGCCAATGAGGATAAACAAACGCTGAGATCATTCGTCTTGACTATCTCATAGCATAACTTACATAGACTTTTTTTTTGATAGCATCAAAATCCGCAGCAATTATTATATTATTAAAACAATTATTTCTGCTACTTACTCGGCCATAACAGCGTCTGTGGCTACCCTACAAAGAACACCCCGATCCATGGAGCATTTGCCGCTGACAGGATCAGGAGGGGTCAGAAGAATGTAAGGTGGCTCTTCCAAAAATGTGATTTTCAAATGGAATTTTTCGGGCACTCCCTGGGGAGGCGTGTGGCTGTTTCCGGGCCAAACAATGTCTTTTATGTCTAATCCTTCAGATTCCCACGATTTCCAGACCCCTATCTGAAACAAGTAAATTTTTTTTGTAACCAATTTGCACGGTTATTTTGTAACGATGAAAACTGTTTAGTTTCAGACAAATACCGTAGAAAATCTATAGGGTTGTTCGGAAAGTCATTTCGTTTTTTCCCGACAGAGGATTTAATTAAAATTGGGTTGTCTACAACAACGTCAAACGCAAGAGGTCATGGAGCAAAAAAGATGAACCGGCTCAAACCATTTCCAAAGCCGATATTCACCAAAAAAAGGTGATGCTGTCTGTTTGGTGGGATTTTAAAGGAATCGTTTTTTTTGAGCTTTTACCGGATAACACAACGATTAATTCGGAAGTCTACTGTCATCAGCTGGACAAACTGAATGATGCACTTCAACAGAAAAGGTCAGAACTAATCAACAGGAAAGGTGTAGTGTTTCACCAAGACAACGCGAGACCTCACACAAGTTTGGTCACTCGCCAAAAGCTTTTACAGCTTGAATGGGATACAATGCTACACCCACCATATTCTCCAGACCTGGCACCATCGGATTATTATTTGTTCCGGTCACTCCAAAATTTTTTAGACGGTAAAACCTTCACCTCAAATGAGGAGGTCAAAAACCTCCTCGATCAGTTTTTTGCCAGCAAAGACCAAAAATTTTATGAGCGTGGAATTATGCTACTACCAGAAAGATGGCAAAAGGTGTTGGACCAGAACGGTCAATATATAATTTAATAAAGTATTTGTTTATTATACGAAAACTGTCTTTCATTTCCACAAAAAAAAAACGAAATGACTTTCCGAACAACCCTATAGATACATATTGGATTTTTAAATTAATGTACAATTCTAGCACTTCAACATAGTTCATGTAGAAGCTGTTCAAACTAAAACGTCATCTCATCTCTACAAATTTAATATGAGTAGTTAGATAAGACTTCATTAAGTTTCCTAAAAAATGTCTGAAATTTCTCTTCTCTCATAAAACCCCCGGCACTTGCTAAGAATAATCACCAACTCCTACTAAAATCCTTCATCAGGCAGTGCTAGAATTGTAATTAATTTAAAACGGGACTAAAAGATCAGACTGACAATTAATTATCTTTAGCACTGATGACAAGGGCGATAAAACCGTTTTGCTGACGCATATCTGACTGACTTTTGTAATGTATTGATAATAAATTTGAGTTGTCTTATTATAACTAAAACACTAAATGCTCAATAAACAGAAAGTCCTAATATGAATTGTTTATAATGTAAAGAAAAACATAAATTGAACGTTTACACTTTTAAAGAAGACTCTAACAATTGTTTAGACTTTTCCACGTTTGAAGTGGGCGAAACACGTGTCCGTTCAGTAAAATTATATTAGGGGTAATTGGGGTGAATTTTCTACTTTATTTATCTACGATTAGAAAAACATTTTATGAAAGATATCTTACCTCTTCCCAGACCAGTTGTTTGCTGACTCCAGGTCGTAAGTTCATAATTTTCAACTCGGCCGCTTTTAGAACCCCGTCTGGGGTAAATTCTATGGGTGGCTTTCCCATCAGTTCCGATTCGATGGTCACGTTTCTTAAGTGGCGAAAAAATCTGTCTCCGGTGTCCCATCGAGCAACTCCAGGACCGTCGCAGGATAACTGTGTGTTAAGTGACCAGTTATCGGTCTTCTGGTCATTGATAAAACCTTCAACTCCGTAAGCATACACTTTTATTGCCGTGGTGATTTCGTTGACAAGAGATGCGCTAGTTGTGTCAAAATGTACACCTGAAACAAACAATTTCACTTTTACTTCATTAAACCCTTAAAAAACAAATTTAGAAAACGTTTGAGAATCATTAAATACGTTTGTAATTTTTAGAAACATCAGGATGTAGTAGTATGTACACTCGCCAATGAAGATAAAGTTTTTGTTTATTAGGTATGGTATTGTTTGTTATTTGTTAGATTAGATTAAGTGTGATTGACGATGTTTATGTTTACAATCAGCCTAGAGTAGTGGTTTGTTCTTTTGGCGTTGTAAGCTCGTATTACGTAGACGATCGAAGTTATAAGAAGTAGGTCAGTGTGTCAGTGTCATAGGTCAGTAAAAAATAGTGCATAGTGGTAATTTATTTAATTGGTATAGTAATGGACGTCTAATTATGTGTTGTAGCGTAGTAGACAGCTGTTGATATTTACTTTAGCTGCATAGTCATCACCGCTCTTTATATGTTGCTAATTCACGTCCAGGGCCGGCTTCGAATCGCAACTTTGTCTAGTTCTCTTGCAATTTCTTTTTGTCCCTTAACCACACTGCTTTGCTCACTATGCGATTTCCTATTACATCTAGTTAACATCCTTCAAAGCTTCCTACTTATTTCAGAAATACCATGCATATTAGGTCTTAAAAAACGGTATAAAAAATATGGTATAAAAACTTTATTGGTTTTATATAAATTGGGAAAAATTAGGTTAATAAAAACGTATGGCCCTTTTAAAGAAAATGCTGACGCGAATAAGTTTAAAAGCAAATAGCGATAGCCACCCTTCATCATTTGGTGTTTTGAATAGGGTCGAATCAATAAGTAGAGACCGCAATTGATGTCGAATGTCGGACACCGGAAACTGCCATTTCCCAACAATCTACTACCATTGTCGAATACAGAAATATTTTAGATATTTCCCTTTTGACATCGTCAGAACAGAAAACGGACGCATTCTCACAAACAAAGCAAGACAAATCACGAAAGTAGGATTTGTCTCTNCTTCCCAGACCAGTTGTTTGCTGACTCCAGGTCGTAAGTTCATAATTTTCAACTCGGCCGCTTTTAGAACCCCGTCTGGGGTGAATTCTATGGGTGGCTTTCCCATCAGTTCCGATTCGATGGTCACGTTTCTTAAGTGGCGAAAAAATCTGTCTCCGGTGTCCCATCGAGCAACTCCAGGACCGTCGCAGGATAACTGCGTGTTAAGTGACCAGTTATCGGTCTTCTGGTCATTGATAAAACCTTCAACTCCGTAAGCATACACTTTTATTGCCGTGGTGATTTCGTTGACAAGAGATGCGCTAGTTGTGTCAAAATGTACACCTGAAACAAACAATTTCACTTTTACTTCATTAAACCCTTAAAAAACAAATTTAGAAAACGTTTGAGAATCATTAAATACGTTTGTAATTTTTAGAAACATCAGGATGTAGTAGTATGTACACTCGCCAATGAAGATAAAGTTTTTGTTTATTAGGTATGGTATTGTTTGTTATTTGTTAGATTAGATTAAGTGTGATTGACGATGTTTATGTTTACAATCAGCCTAGAATAGTGGTTTGTTCTTTTGGCGTTGTAAGCTCGTATTACTTAAGTAGACGATCAAAGTTATAAGAAGTAGGTCGGTGTGTCAGTGTCATAGGTCAGTGCAAAATAGTGCATAGTAGTAATTTATTTAATTGTTATCGTAATGGACGTCTAATTATGTATTGTAGCGTAGTAGACAGCTGTTGATATTTACTTTAGCTGCATAGTCATCACAGTTCTTTATATGTTGCTAATTCACGTCCAGGGCCGGCTTCGAATCGCAACTTTGTCTGGTTCTCTTGCAATTTCTTTTTGTCCCTTAACCACACTGCTTTGCTCACCATGCGATTTCCTATTACACCTAGTTAACATCCTTCAAAGCTTCCTACTTATTTCAGAAACACCATGCATATTAGGTCTTAAAAAACGGTATAAAAAATATGGTATAAAAACTTTATTGGTTTTATATAAATTGGGAAAAATTAGGTTAATAAAAACGTATGGCCCTTTTAAAGAAAATGCTGACGCGAATAAGTTTAAAAGCAAATAGCGATAGCCACCCTTCATCATTTGGTGTTTTGAATAGGGTCGAATCAATAAGTAGAGACCGCAATTGATGTCGAATGTCGGACACCGGAAACTGCCATTTCCCAACAATCTACTACCATTGTCGAATACAGAAATATTTTAGATATTTCCCTTTTGACATCGTCAGAACAGAAAACGGACGCATTCTCACAAACAAAGCAAGACAAATCACGAAAGTAGGATTTGTCTCTCTTTGAAATGCGAGCACTTTGTACCTAGTCATGAGGATTACTAGAAAATGAACAATCCTGAAAATGATCCTTATGTCTCGAAAATAATATACAAGTAGAAAAAGAATTTCGAAAATGACCCATTGAGCATATAAGTATATATCAAAAACTGACTAATCAAAGGGTGTTCTTTTTACTGTTGTTAAGTAGAGGAAAGTTAGTTTTTGCCCACGTAAAATATAAGAAATAAATATGTAAATACAAATATAAGTAGGAAAGTTCACTTTATTTTATTAGCTCGACTTCCTGAGATGAATATGTAAGGTAGGTAGTAAAGTTGTAGGAGTAACTATAAAGCGTCGCAAAGTCGACTGAAGTCCCATCTGTCTTAGTCGGAAAGAGATTTAAAAAGCAGTCGTGCGAAATTTGCTTCCTGAAGGATACCCCATCATGGCCATGTTGCTCAAGACCCACGGGTAATCTCTTACTTTATGGATAAAGGTTCGTTTTAGGAGAAAATTGAGTCAAAATAGCTTTATTTCCGGATCTAAACTTCCTTCTTAATGAACCGCGATGGATTAGAATATTAATAGTTTGAAGTAGCACTAAAATATCCAAAAACCTACAGAGTGATCCACTAATAAATAACAACGATTTTCGGTGATAGGTCAACAAAATCCCTAAATTCACATTTCTATAAAGAACAGTCGACAAAATTCAAACTTTTTTATCCCCGGACGTCATAAAGGCGTCAGTAAGCAGTAAGTTGTTGTTTATGTTTCTTTTATGCGTTGGACAACCGACATTGTTTAGCGTACATTTCATCCATGTGTTACTACTCAATTTTTTAGGCAGTTTGTACTCAACGATTCAGTAGTACTACATCCACGTTGCCAAATCACGCACAGGACCGGCTTCGAATTGTAACTTGTCGTGGTTTTCTTTCCAATTTTGTTAATTTAATTCCTTAACTACGCTGCTGTACTCACAATGCGATTCTCCAAATTCATTTACACCCTGTATGTATATAAAATGAAGTCAGTAGTAGATTCCCGGACGGATTTCCGAATTTTTCTCCTATCATATCAATAAAGGAAGAGAGAACAATTGAGAGAACAGAATTTGTTTTGATCAAGACGGATAGTAGTTCTCCCGATCTCGCGCTTTTATGAGGTCGATAAAGTCAGTTATTTAGGTTCCAAGTTCACTAAAAGGATTACAAAGAAATTTTCCTTTGTGTTTCTCTAGGAAGGATTTCTTTCACGAAACATTTATAGGATTTCATCGCTGCTTGGAGCACGTAAAAAGGAAAACTCTTATAAAGCTTGCCATTAATCAGGAGTGAGAAAAGTGACAAAAAATCTCACGACGCAGTGGCGATCTTATCTCTTCGGCTGCTTTCATGGGAGAATGTAATGAAAAAATTGACAAATTAAGAAAGCCAACTTCATTGTTATTCGGAAAATAAGAAGGGACCGTTTTCAAAACGATACTTAAAACAGTTTACATTACGGTAAATATGTCAAAAAATTGTTTTGGAAGGATTACTAATTTACTTTTAAACTAGTTTTTATAAATGGTTCAGTTTCAGTGTCCTTCCAGTTCGATCAGTTTAATGTGTTTCGTCGGCAAAGAACGTCGCTTATCGCGGAAACAGCTTGGAGAAATCCTTGCAATCTCGTAGATTTACTTAAGCTACCCTACGTTTCAAGTAATTTTACATGTAAATTGTACGTCGAATGCGGTCGAAAGGCATAGCGCATAATCCGTTTAATTATTGCTTCGTCACTGTACGCCAATTAAGACTTAATCCTTTTTATCAGTTCGAATTCTTTGAACGCTATACTCCGATAATTACCAATGCTGTACCAAATTTCTACAAGCGCAATCTAATTTGAATAAGTGCAGACAGAGCAGCTTATGTCATCTGCAGTACTTACTGTAGGATTAAATAATGTCTAGGAAGGTCCTTTTCTCTAATTGTTTGGGATTGACATTCTGTTTTCATTTATATCTGTAGAATACGTAACCACAACATTTTACGAGTATTTATCAAGCATTTCTATTGACTCTGCTCTAAATCAATAAACCATTAACGCCGCTGACATTAATTAGCGCCCTAGGCGTCAGTTTCGATAAGTGCCAAATGTATCGACTTCAGGGAATTGTACCTTCAATTCTCGACACTACGAAATAGAGCAAAAATGTACAACCGCTTCGGACCGTCTATTAGAAATATTAATAATTTACTAATTTGGTAATCGAATAATCTTGAAAGTTTTACTGTTAAAATAGGGTAAAAATGACTTCATAACAAAATTAATTTTTTTATCTACTACCTACATATAATTAATAATTCACAGCATCTAATCTAAATAAGGATCAGATTCAAACCTGCGCTTACTTTATTTCGTTTGAATGAAATAACTGAAGGAAGAATTAATTACAATTCACGTGGAACCCCAAGCACTTTGTTTCTACAACGTATATTTATTTTCCACATAAATTTGCATAGATATTATCTGCACCGCCAGAAAAACCAAAAAGCAAACCATTGAACTTCCGTGGGGACTCTTCTTTTTATTAGAACAACTCCAAAAAATTAATGGAGCTGTACATAAAAAAATTTAACAGATCGCTGTCTTTAAACGAGCACCAGGGTCGAAATAAATTCTGGGTTGTCTCTGCTAAATAAATGAATACGAGAAGTTTTTATGACCAAATGAATTTTAATACTGCAGACAATCTTAAAGCTGAATTAGAACACAAATTTTTCATTTCTGTTAAATAAAACAAAGCAGAAGAGGTGCTGAGGGGACCAAAAATTTCAGGTCCTGATATTAGCCCCGGAAATAATCCCAAAATTGAAATAACATTTCCTTACAGAAAAATTATCCTTACGATAATGAACACATTAGATATTTATGGAAACCAATTATTATTTTTAGATATTTGAATTTAAAAGTCTTGTACAAATTAAACATTAAGTTAATTAGGATTCAAGAATTAGTAGATTTATCGCATCGGCGGTGGAGGTCAAAGTTTTGGAGATACGAATTCTAATTTATAATGGTTCACAAACAGTAAAAAAAAGGGAAATACCTCAGGGTAAAAGTTGTTCATTAAAGATAAACGTAAATTACAAAAAGCGAATCGGCATTCATGGTTTGTTTGTTATCACAAACACCATTCGTCATTTCAGTCAAACAAGCCAGAAAGTTTCTCTCTAATATGGCGCACGTGTAGGCGATAATATCTTTATTTTTACCACTTCTGGTGCGCCATGTCACGTACCAGTTTTATCGTGGAGAAATCTGGCAAGGAACAAACGTTTACACTGAACAACCCCCTTTCTAAATTTCGCCGAAGTCAAACAACGAAAAGGGAAACAATTAACGCCATATATACAACATTTATACGAGACTATAAGACTAAATAAAGTACGTGTCTTGTTTTTTGTACAGGTTCTTTCATTATTTGTTTATTTCTAGGGGCTAAAAGAAAAGCAGTAACAAACAAAAAACAACAAGAAGCATTTATATTTTTCTACGATAGTAGTATAACTATGAGGATTATGAACCATTCACCCCCCCTTGACTGCAACCCAACATACTCTACAGTATTTCGGCTGCCATAGTAACAGGGGTTAATCTTTATTTATATTTATATAGTAGTATACGAGGAGGGTTGTAAACCATACATCCCCTTGACTGCAAACTAATCACAATGCGATTCTCCAAATTCATTTACACCCTGTATGTATATAAAATGAAGTCAGTAGTAGATTCCCGGACGGATTTCCGAATTTTTCTCCTATCATATCAATAAAGGAAGAGAGAACAATTGAGAGAACAGAATTTGTNAATAAGGCAAACAATATACAAACGAACCCTAATTATCAACACGAGCCAGTAAATGTTTTAGTCACTCCCTACCCTCATATAATAATATTATGTATAGACATGTGTATGTATTTGTGTTGTATTGATTGTAATGTTAGGTATAGGTTGATTTAGGATGAACGTATTTGCCAAGTGCTTAGCTAAGCAAACAGAAACTCAGTAATTGAAACCGGTCCGATTTTAGTTTGTTCCGGCGAACTACGTACGTTGGTATTAGATACGTGCAACTAATTTAGTTATCGACGTATCTTATAATAGGAAAATTTACTCACCTAGCATACCAACAGGGAATTGGCCGGATGCCGACTGTGGGTTTTCGATAACACTCTGGGTGACAACCCAAACATAGTTCTCTCCAGTCAAATGGAATTCCCGAGCGGCTTTGAGAATTTCTTTCGCCTCTTCACGAGTACAGTACAACAACATAACTCGCGCTTCTGAATCAACCAAAGCGGCCAGATCTCCGTTCTTAGCCACCAGAACTGCATTCAGTATTGTAAATTTGAACCGATCCTGCAACAGAAAATAAAGACAAATCAAAATTCATGTTTTAACATTTAGCAAACGACAATTGCAAGTTCTAGAGTACTACTTTTAGACCGAAAGTCATTAGTTCCGATAGAGTGAAACATTAATAAGAATCTATCTTTTGACTGTTACTGAAGCAGTTCAGAAGTTATCTTGCTCTATTTTATTTTGTTAAAATGTGTCGTCACGTCATGCACCCTTGAATGTAGGGAGATTTCCTTTTTGAAATTTAGATGTAAAAGCAGTGTGTTTGCATGTTAAAGTGCAACGGATAAAAGCAAAAATAGGTTCGACATCGGTTCCAAAAGCAACGCTAAAAGGAAATAAGACTTAAAAAGGAAGAGAAGCAAGGAAAACCTTGTACGTAGATAAGATATCAATACTGATTTGCCCGGGAGTGCGCCGTTTGCTTTAGAGACCTCCCTTCGAAAGCAGGTAAATATACCAAAGCAACGACAAGACGGAAAAGGCACAAAATAAGAACAAATGCACGTCTTCGACCCCCATGTTTAACTAAATATTTTCGGGCCTTGGAACGTATAAATTAAATTACGGCCGGGATAATGACGGGAACACGCGAAGAAAAAATGCCTCTAAACCCGCAGGCGACTGTAGTTTTAAGTAAAATTTATCGCCCGTATAAATTTAACACGAACGTGAACGGAAAATCCCACGTGTCATTTATCATAAAACTTTCAGAGTTTCCCAAAGAAGGCGAATGCAGTAAATAATAGGTAAGTAGAATTCCATGTAAAAAAATAAAATAATTATGCATTTCGTCAAACAATGTTTTTTATTGCGTGGGTATATAAATACTTAACAGACACTTAATCAGCAAAGGAGGCCTAAAATAATTATGCATTTCGTCAAACAATGTTTTTTATTGCGTGGGTATATAAATACTTAACAGACACTTAATCAACAAAGGAGGCCTAAAAAACTGGATCCCAAAAGTTAAGAAAACTATTGATCGTTCACCTCCTATTTTGTAATCAGTTGTTTAACCAAAGCAATATTGGGGTTAAACGTAATTTATTGAAGTGAAACTTCTAGAGGGGGTAGATGGTATATCGCGTGGTCAGAGGCGGCAGCGGTGGAGGGAGAGTAAGGCTGGCGGCTGTGAAGAGAGGGCAACGCCTGTATCAGATGGATATAATGCGCAGCTACGCGACGAGCGGGGAATCCGCTAGAGTCCCGGCGGCGTGTGCTGTGCTCAGCTGTTGTTTTCTTACCTCTGCTCTCTACGCGGCTGGGCATCACTGCCTCTGTTTGCGGTTTGTGTAAAAACCAAATCATAATTTGCAGTAAACTTGTAAAAACGTGTGCTGGGACACATAGTAGAAGTGAATCTTCAACGAACAAGTGGAAAAACAAATAGCAAACGACTTTCAAGGTGATTCTTTTTGGAAAACGGCGCTTTTAATAGTCCAGTGCCTATTGTTTCCCTATGCAAAGTACAGTATGCCTGAAACGTAAAACTTAATTCAAATCCCCGATCTACTTTAAAATGCATTAAACTTTTGTAAAGAGAACCAGATAGGTAAGAAAATTATCATTCCTGGAGTACAAATTAGAGGTTGTAGGTGACTGCAAGACGGTATGCCTCTTGATGTCTGAAAGAACTCAATTCTAAAAGGATAAGTTCTGTTACGATTGAGTTCAATTTATGTAATGTACAGTATGCAAAAATTCACATCTTTGCCTTTATCTTTCGAAATTTCTTATTGTAAAGAAATAAATTGAGATCATTTTATTTTATTTGGGTATGGAACTTGAATTGAATCGAATTTCTTTAAAGACATCAATTTTCAAAGAAATTTTCCAGCATTCGAATGCAAATGTTAACATGTTTCACACAACGTCTGCGTTCCATTATTCATTTTTGGAAAAAATATTGTATGTCTAGTCTTGACACTTAAAGGAAATATAGTATAAATCGACAGCATTATAAATAACGTCTTGGTGTCGGTTCCAGCTGAGGGGGCGCTTCTCGATTTATACCGTGTCGTAATCCCCTCGCAGATGAATGAATGATACCGAAGGACTATAAGCCATATAAATTTATAGTCGGCCAATACTACCAAACGGTTTCGAAATGAAAAAAATTTATGTCCTCGTGACTCCTTGACTGGCAAAAGGCGAGAAATCTAATTTAAGATAGGTACCACTTAAAGAAAAAAAAATAAGAGCTCTCTTATCGTTTTGTTGAGTAAACGATAGAACAGTATTTTTAATTTCTCTTTTAAAGTTTGTCACTGTTTTAAACTACCACATAATTGTGAAGACGAAGATCCTGAAGATGTACGAGGAAAACATCGTTACAGTTAATGTTCTTTAGGAACGTTGTACCTACATTAATTCCATCCGAATCCTTTAACTGAAATTGGATTTTTCTAAGCTCCTATATTGCGTTCTTTACAAATAAAAAACAAAACAAAAAAGAGCAAGGGGTAGTCACTTGAAAACTTAAGCGGTTTTCGTGAAAAGCAATTTAGTACGTCTGTTCCAATTCTCGCTTGCTCTGGAACAACCGCTTTGTTTCCAAGTTTTTCTTCGACATCGTTCACGTGTTTAGAATGAAATGGATAAATGCTCGAAATTAAAGAAGAAAAAACGTTTAAATGAATACGCCAGGAATTTTCTATTAATTTTTCCACGATAATATAATAGATACCTAAATAGCATTCTTAGAAAACAACTACTGAAGCGTCTAGTCCCGTCATATAAATACAGAAACGTGGGCATTCCAAAAATACGTGAAGAATGTAATGAGAAACGAAAAGTTTTCACTAAATTCTATTGCATATTATGTCACCGACGACATATTTTCAAAATGAGTCGAGGGCGAGTACGCACCAATCTTGAGTCTCACTAACTCGCCGCATTCACAGGAAAATGCAATATTTCACTCTTTATGATATAAATGTCTCTGACTTTAATGTAGTGATGTAAATGTCGAATATAGGATACATATCTGCTCCATGTAATGCTCTAGACCACATGTTTCCAGAATGAGTCAAAGACGAGTAAAGGCGAAAAGAATACGCAGTATCTTTGACTCAAATTAACTCGCCGCATTGACAGGTAAATGTAATAAGATTTCATGTTTGTGATAGAAATTAATCATATTTTCGAATAAATTTTACTGCATATTATATCACCAATGACATTTTCAGAATGAGTCGAGGGCGAGTACGCACCAATCTTGGGTCTCACTAACTCGCCGCATTCACAGGACATTGCAATATTTCACTCTTTATGATATAAATGTGTCTGACTTTAATGTAGTGATGTAAATGTCGAATATAGGATACATATCTGATCCATGTAATGCTTTAGACCACATGTTTCCAGAATGAGTCAAAGACGAGCAAAGGCGAAAAGAATACGCAGTATCTTTGATTCACACTTACTCGCCGCATTGACAGATAAATGTTATAAGACTTTACTGTTTGTGATAGAAATTAATCATATTTTCCAATAAATTCTGCTGCATGTTATGTCACCGACGGCATATTTTCAAAATGAGTCATCGAGGGCGAGTACGCACTAATCTTGGGTCTCACTAACTCGCCGCATTGGCAATAGAGTACTACTTTTAGACCGAAAGTCATTAGTTGCGATAGAGTGAAACATTAATAAGAATCTATCTTTTGACTGTTATTGAAGCAGTTCAGAAGTTATCTTGCTCTATTTTATTTTGTTAAAATGTGTCGTCACGTCATGCACCCTTGAATGTAGGGAGATTTCCTTTTTGAAATTTAGATGTAAAAGCAGTGTNCGACGGCATATTTTCAAAATGAGTCATCGAGGGCGAGTACGCACTAATCTTGGGTCTCACTAACTCGCCGCATTGGCAAGAAAATGTAATATTTCACTCTTTATGATAGAAATGCCCTTGACTTTAATGTTGTGGTGTACATGTCTTCAGAAGGAGTCGATGGCGAGCAAAAACGAAAAGAATCTTTGACACTCACTAACTCGCCGCATTGACAGAAATGTGTAATCTTTCACTCACATTCCTCATACATATTTTAAAATAATGATAGTTTGGCTTACACTAACTAGGGCATTAACATCAAGTCCTTCTTTTCGTTTTCTTATCATAGATAGAGCTCATACTTACATATTACAAATCTCAAAATTGTATATAGAGTCACAAGGGGATTGCAGTATATTTCACTTTGTAATTTCTTAGGTAACTCAAAATTAAACAGGTGTAAAAGAGAAAACAGTAGCACTTTAATTAAATTTAAATTGTAATTAAGTTTAAACCCTGTCACTTCACCGAGTTATTTAATCAGTATCGTTAGCTTAAAAGGTTGTTTTGAGAAATGTTTTGTAATATACAAAGATTAGGGTTTATTACTACGTAGAATACTTAGACCAGTTTTAAAGAGTCAAATAATATAAAGTTGAAAGTAGGGCAAATATTAGCAATGAAATAGTTAAAGTTATTACAGAAAATTATAAGGACCAGAGCAATTAATCTCAGTAAAATTAAAAGTTCAAGGGTTCTCTTTAGAGATTCAAAATGGTTTTGTTTCTGCAATTTCAAACCTTAGCCTCTTATTTCAAACACTAAAATCAAGTAATTTTCCATTATTCACACAAAAATTCTCACCTGCATGGCAGACACCCTTTCCCTAACCGCTTGAATGAAGTCGTCGTGACCAGCGATAGGACTTGTAACAACTGAAAACTGGTGCCATTTGTACCGTTCGAGAATACTCAGCATAGCGGCAGTCTGATGTTCCAGCGATGGAGCAAGCTGCAGTTGCAGGGATGATTGAGATGCCCTTCTCTCTAGGCCTGAATTATCGGCATTCCACGCTATCACCGGAATGCCCAAGTAGCCCGCGAGCTGCAGGAAATATTGAGCCGATGCAGTACTTCGTCCGTACTGTTCGTAATTCATGAGGTACAGAATTGCAGACACGTTCACAGAAAGGAAATCTTGACACAATGACTTCAATATTGCTGAAAAGAAAAGAAGAAAAGAAATTATTTTTCAATCAGAAAGTAATTTGTTTAAAAAGAAAGACGAATATGTCGCAATTCATCCGACGCAACGCCTGCGCTTTCTTATTGAACTGAAACTGAGGGCAACGGCTGTACTAGATGAACATAATGCGCAGCCGCGCGAAGAGCGAAGAGTCCGCTAGAGTCCCGGCGGCGTGTGCTGTGCTCAGCTGTTGTTTTCTTACCTCTGCTCTCCACCTGGCTGGGCATCATTGCCTCTATTTGCGGTCTGTGTAAAAACCAAATTATAATTTTTCAGTAAACCTGTGAAAACGAAAAACATTTCCGTTTCTTATTAGACGACTGCATCATCTCCATCATTGCAGCTGCTGGTAAAAATTAAACTACTAGTAGCTTACAACAGCCAAGTTATCATACGGTGTTTAGGTTGATAATAAATTTATTATAAAAGAAATGAAGAATTAATTCCAATCTCGATGATAATATGTAACAGATCCAGCGTTTTCCTCCTCAAAAGGTCAAAGAAACTTAGGAGCAGCATATGTAATTTTATTCCAAAATCTTCTAATTGTATTTACATATTTGCCAATTGGATCGTTTAAATATTGAATACGTTAATTTTTGATTGTCTCTACTTCCTGTAATCATCCTTGTCACACAACCAGTTTTAATGGGTGTAAATGAGACTAATTAATAATTATGAGACATTCTGTGAACTTGTACGAACCTAATTAAACTTCATACATATTAAACACCTCTCTGTGTCGATTAGTATTAAACTAATAGCCCATGCAATCCGGAAATATTTAATTTAATTACAATCAAATAAATAAATTGAGAGCAACTGGTATAATTCGTTTTCGAATTGTCTATAGAGTAAATGCTGGGCTGCCTTATTATTTAAGATGCGAATGATTATTATTATCATCATCATCCAAATAAGCAAATCGAAGATTTTGGGTCCATTATTAGGCTACGTAGATAAATTGCAGCATTATCGGCAACACGTTTGTAAAGTTCAAGTCCAAGTTTTTATCTGAGCTCTTGTAACTCTTCTACATAATACGAAACCGTTTCTGTGACACTTTATTCAAACAAGTAATACAGTAAATGGTTTCCAGAATAGAAGGACGTTCCACCTTAATTTTCCTAATGTGCTGTCGTGAACAATGAGAAATCCTTTCAGGTTCAAGCTTTTTCTCGCCTAGGTAATAAGTAATTCACCCAAATATACCCAACGAAATTTTCAGAGCGGACACGTATTTCAAGCGTCTCTAATTTGAGCATCATCAACATCAGCTCCTTTTTTTCCTAATATAAATTGTAACTAACTAATTTTATATTAAAGCCGGGTGCAATATATTTTTTTATTTGTGCTATTTGTAGAAGAAAGCAGCACTTAAAATTTAAAACGTTCAAATGTTAATGTTTAGTTTCTGAATGTTTTCCAACGTCAAGGAAGCGTTTTAAAAAGTGTGTTTCAGGGAGGAAAATGGAAACCCGCCCTAGAGCTGAAGGCTCTAAAAAAATGGCACTGCCCCATAAAATGTAAATCAGTTGAGAAGTAGCTCGCTAAAGTACACTTAAAGGGTCTCATTAAATTTAAATTATTCGCGAACCTCTTTACTTAACAGAAAACTGCTGATTTCTTAGGCAGTCTTATAGTCACCTGCTTCTTTGTATTCTCCACTTTTACTTTACGGCTGGGTAATTCCCGCAAAAAGGGAAACTCTTCTTTTTTACTTGCTAAATTATGAAATAAGTTAGTATTGGTGAATAGGTAACTGATATTTAATTCATCTAAATTTATCGCACCTGAATGTTTTATCATGGTAACATTAAATAGATTCCTTTTACAGCAACTATGACATTATGCACCAAAAATTTAAAGGTACATGAAAAGGAAGTAACCATCCCACACCACTCGGTGATATACATAAACATGAGGGTAGTGACCTTATCGAAAGCCCCCGCGATTCACGTGATACCGGCGGTGTATTTCCATTACACAGTCCATATGTTCGCATATTCTCCATGTTAATACCTTGGTTTTAGCTTGATATTTCCATATTCAACTCATTTTCATACTTTGTGCTAATACTATGCCAATAGAACGCTAACGAGTGCTGATTATTACTAATCATTACGTACAATTGACCTGTCTACGTATCAGCTGTTGAGAAGGCCACGAATAGGTATGCGTGTTTCGTCGAAATCCGATAAGATAACGCGGTAACTGTTCTCAGTCATTAATGGTTCGTTAACTGGGGTACTTTTTGTGCACACTTTTTGCATCCCTTACGTTGTGGCACAATGACGACATGCGCTCTACAGTGCCTCCAGATATTACCCTTCAAATATTTCGAAATACTGATCAGAAATAGTGTAAAATGCTACCATCTAGCGATTAAGGAATAAAATAAGACAGATTAAGGTTAAATACATAAATTAAGTTACTATTATTATATACAAATTTTATTTTTCTTTGAAAANCCATGTTAATACCTTGGTTTTAGCTTGATATTTCCATATTCAACTCATTTTCATACTTTGTGCTAATACTTTGCCAGTAGAACGTTAACGAGTGCAGATTATTACTCGTCATTACGTACTATTGACTTGTCTACGTATCAGCTGTTGAGAAGGTCACGAATAGGTATGCGTGTTTCGTCGAAATCCGATAAGATAAAGCGGTAACTGTTCTCAGTCATCAATGGTTCGTCAACTGGGGTACTTTTTGTGCACACCTTTTATATCCCTTACGTTGTGGCACAATGACGAGATGCGCTCTACAGTGCCTCCAGATATTACCCTTCAAATATTTCGAAATACTGATCAGAAATAGTCTAAAATGCTACCATCTAGCGATTAAGGTATAAAATAAGACAGATTAAGGTTGAATACATTAAATTAAGTTACTAGCATTATATACAAATTTTATTTTTCTTTGAAAAACGTTTGACGCATTAAAACTCCATGTTTTTAAAACTGATGTAATTCTAGTTCCAAAAACATGCGCTACACTTGAGCCCACTTGATTCGTAATTTTACAAACTCAAAACTTTGTGCAAAAGTAACAAGATTGATTAGCGTAATTTTTTCTATTGATTTTTTAACGTCTGCTCAGAATTTTGGTTAAACGACGTAATAAAATTTCACAGTCTTCTTTTCGAGGAAATACTTGAGCGTGTCTGTTCGCGCGAAATTCAGGACATGATAAAAAGGCGGTAAAATTCGTTAATGTACTCGCTATGCAAACAACCGTTTATCATTTAGGACACCAGAGCACCTTTTAAATTTCATCTTAAGGAAAAAGGAGGTAATTTGTATTTATGAAAAGCCTCGCTAAAAATATCTCCTGAGACATCCGAGTTGCAGAAAGGATATTAAAATAAAAATCATCAAATGAAAAATGAGTTTCTTGAAGCAACTAAAACGGTAGCGCTTTAACGGATAAGCGATAGTTTCTTACAAATTATCGAAATACTTAATGTAATATACACATATCATCAGCACCATAAGGTCGTCAGTCCTGAATGGAGTCCCGTGCTTCATAGAAGAGCACAGAAGTGACTTTATATCCCTAGTACCCCTTCCATCCTGACTTATTTCCCTTCTTTTTCTTCCATTGTAAACCAGTATTTTTATTTAACATTTATTTATTTTCATTCACTACTGTTTTGTCGATACCGATTACTAATAGCACTTCAATTTCACTATTATTACTTATTTTAGTGAATAATTGTTAACAGGAATTGGAAAACGCCAATCAATTTTTCACAGAGTGGAATAATCCGAAAACAAACTATTTGAAATTCTCGTACTGCAGGGACCAAATCAGGACTCAGGACCTCTATAAGTAGATGTCACCGACCAACTCCAAAGACATGCAATTTCCTTGCAGGAAATTGAAGTCTCGTGCTATGTGGTTTGTTTCTTGATTTGTAATAAGAAAAAAAGTCGTTTGTCGTTAACTTTAGATAGAAGGATTTTTGATATTGTAATAGAGCTATCTCTAACAGCAATACCAAATATTAAAGAGTAAATTGTAATGTGTCTAATTCATAATTAATCTAATCTTAATACAGTATGCACCACGAATAGCAGATCTAACAAGAAATTGCTTTATCGGTATCGAAAAGTTGAATATTTTAAAACAAACATGAAATATTATAATGAAAATTCAATTTCTGAATTTTTTTACCCACTACACGCTACCTCAAATTAATGAGGGAAAAACTGTTGCTGTTGTCACACCCCCGCCGGGAATCGAACCCGGGACCTTTGGCTTTACGCACCAATATTCTGACCACTAAACTACGAGAGGTGACAACAGCAACCACGACAAACCGACCTACAAGGTCAACAATCCGTCAATTTAGACATCTTTTTAGAAGTGAGTTAGTTTAACATGAAATATTATACTGAAAATTCAATTTCTGAATTTTTTTACCCACTATGCGCTACCTCAAATTAAGTCTATGAAACGTTACATAATGATTATTGATTTCTAAGTCCAGCTATTGCATTTCTTTATCAATTTCTCCCTTAATCTACTAACCCACTCTCATATAATCATAATATTATATGTTTTGTGCCGCCTTCAATAAGAAGGAGTCACATGTATGCTCGCGAACGAAATTCGAAGAAAATTATTGTTAAAGGTGTATGTTTGGGACGCGGCGCTGTACGGGTGCGAAACATGGACGGTAGGCGCTGCGGAAAAGAAACTGTTAGAAGCATTCGAAATGCGATTTTATAAGCGAATGATGAGGATATCGTGGATAAAGAAGGTTAGAAATGAAGAGGTATTCGAAAGAATAGGAGAACAGAGGACTCTATGGAAGTCAATATGAAATAGACGAGAGAGGTTGGTAAGACACCTTTTAAGGCATGAATGTCTAGCCAGAGACATATTAGAGGCCTAGATTAGATTACTGTTCACAAATACTTAAGGATGTGGGATGTTCTAGTTTTAGGGAAATGCAAAGATTAGC